TAGGAGAAGATGATTACAGTCATCTTGGAGCGTTGGTTCATGTACGTAACACATGTTAATTCTTTTTATTTCCCCTTCCCTTTTGTTTCCTTCCATATAAGCTACACTGAGTGTCTACCTTATCCCAGTCAAAATGGCTATCGTCAAGAATACAAAAAATATGGGTGTGTGGAAATCATTTTAAAAAATGATTTTTAAAATGCATATGCAAATTTTCAAATGAAACCTATTAATCTGTATAACCAATAAGACAAAATAAAAGCAATAAGCCAAAACAAAAAAAGAATTAAAAAAATAAATGTTGGCAAGGATGCCAGGGGAAAAAGAACATTTCTATACTGCTGGTAGGAATGCAAATTAGTATGGAAATCAGTATGGTGGTTCCTCAGAAAATCAGAAATACCATTATCATGTACTAAAACTAGAAAAGTAGAAACAGAACTACCATGAAGGAATTAAAGCCAATATATTATAGCAATACCCAAATACTTATGTTAATTGTGACACAATTCATAATAGCCAAGATACAGAACCTGCCTAAGTGCCCATTAACTGAAGAATGGATAAAGAAAATGTGGTATGGCTTGGTACAGTGGTGCATACCTGTAATCCCAGCATTCAGGAGGCTGAGGCAGGAATACTGCAAGTTTGAGGATAGCATGGGGTACATAGTAATATGCTGTCTCAAAAAAAAGGAAAAAGGAAAAAAAATCTGATATATATGCACAATGGAGTATTCAGCCATAAAAAAAAAAATGTTTAACAGATGGAACTGGTGATCGTGTTAAGTGAAATAAGAAAGACTCAGAAAGAGTACTGTATTGTAAGATAGTAATACAGTAAAAAAAGATGGCATGAAAAGTAGAAGGGAGAATATTACTATACAAGAGGAGGGGACTAAGAGGATGTGAGTTTTAGGGAGAGTAATAGGATACGGATAAGATCAAAATACATTCTATGCATGAATAAAAATACCACACTGGCACTCAGTATTTTGTAAAAGTCTCTTGTTCTTACTGTGGAAGCTACTTGAGGCCAAGAATCATGTTTGTATCCCAGGATATAGTATAATGCCAGCTACTGTATTTTAGGTTATTTAAAGGGATAAAATAATGATCAGAGCACATTTTTAAAAAATCACAACGGGTTTTAATGTGGTAGACTGATTTTTGGCATTTTAAAAATTTTATTTATTTTGGTACGGGAATCGAATTCTGCCCCTTGCACTTGTGAGGTAGGCGCCGGAACCACTGAGCTAAATTCCCAGCCCCTTGGCATTTTATTTTATTTTTTTTTCTTTTTATTGAGTTTATTGGTACAATCTAGGTATACAATACAGTTACATTCATTATTGTGATCTTGTACCTTTACATGATAGGTCTTGATTCTCATTATTTCCCCTTGTCCCTGCCCTCCCTTCACCCCCTCCTCCCCTCCCCATTTACAAACACTTTATTTCCATTTTTTCAGTTTCTCATATTTTTTTCTTCTCCCTTATTACCTTTCCCCACCCTTCCCACTTTCCCTACACCTTTAGCCCTTTACTTCCTATTTCACATTATTAATTATCTCATTAGGATCCTGTGTACTATTATAATTTTTCACACCAGAGAAACTATTTGGTATTTCAGTTAAAGAAATCTCTGTATGAACATTAAAAATAGGGAATCCTAAAATAAAACTAAAAAGGAAAGAAAAAGAGAAAAGGCAATGATGTAAGATTAAAATAATCCTTAATTCTGAAGATGAAAATGGTCCCTTAACATATTTAAATTGCTTCTTGTTCTTGTAGCCTTATCTTATTCTTTTTTTTATTATTTAGAGAATACTTTATTAGTTTCTGTAATCAAACCCATGTAGATATGACCTTACATATTTAATACAGTGTGTTACCCCTGTACAAATGGAAAAATTAAATTAAATTAAAATTAAAATAAATGTACATTTCTAGACCAATATGGCTGTCAATTTCTGTACAATGCCAACTCAACACAGTAAATTGGGGTTTGTATTTATATAAAGAGACTAATAATAGCAGTATGTTATGCATCAATAGCAGCAACAGCTTTTCCAGGTTCTGCAGTCATCTGAACAAAATTATAGACATTCAGCACATTCCATTCAAAACAAAACAAAACAAAACAAAACAAAGAAAAGAATAATATCCAGAAAACAGCAAAGTTCTGTTGCTGTTGTGGTACCTGGTACCATTTTTTTTTTTTTTTTAACATCTTAATCATCATCTGGAAAGAACATTCTAGAGTAATATCATTAAAAATACCTCTGAAAAAGCACGGTCACTACCACATATCATAAAGCAGGTACAAGATATTTTACATTCACAGAGGTATGATGCAGTACAGTCCTACATCAATAATACAAGAATCAGTTTTGGTTTGAAATTTGCTTTGTCTGCAAATAAGATTGCTACCCCTGTTTTTTGGCGGGGTCTCCTGTCACATGGAGAATTGTTTTCTATCCTTTCACTTTCAGTCTATGGGCTTCTTTTTGCCCTAGGTGTGTTTCTTGTATACAACATATTGTTGGATTTTGCTTCTTATTCCATTTTGCCAGTTTATTTCTCTTGATTGGTGAGTTGAGGCCATTGACATTGATGGTTATAATTGATATGTACTGACTTATTGTCATGTTATTGGCCTTTTGTTGACTCTTTTTACTTTTTCACCTCCTTTTAGTTTCTTGCCTTGCCTATTTGGTTTGCTCTGTTGGGCCTCATGGTGTTGTTGCCTTCATTGTCTTTTTCTAGGATCTTGTTTAGAATTGCTTGAAGTGCTGGTTTGGTATTTATGTAGTTTCTCAGGTGTTCTTTGTCATGGAAGTGTCTTATTTCCCCATCCATTTTGAAAGAGAGTTTCGCAGGATACATCAGTCTAGGTTGGAGATTGTTCTCTCTTAGTACTTGAAATATCTCACTCCAGGCTCTCCTTGCCCTAAGGGTTTGTGTTGAAAAGTCTGCTGTGATTCTGATGGGCTTTCCCTTGCATGTGATTTGTTTCTTTTCTCTTACTGCTTGTAGTATTTTGTTCTGTTGGGTTTCTGGGATCTTGATTATTATATGTCTAAGTGTAGATTTTTTTTATTGTGGCTAGTTGGGATCCTATATGCCTCAGTTATCTGAATGTCAAATTCTTCCCCTCTGTTTGGGAAGTTTTCTGTCATTAATTCTGTGAACAGCTTTTTTAAGTCATTTGTATTTTCTCCTGCTACTTCATAGATTCCTATCAGTCTTATGTTATTCTTCTTTGCATCATCTAGGAGTTCTTGGATTGATTTCTTATGATCCCCTACTGTTTTTAAGAGACCTCTCTTTTCACGGTCACTGACTGCAATCTTATCTTCTATATCTGAGAGTTTTATCTTCACATTCTTTTATTCTGTTGTGTGCACTTTCAAAGGAGTGTTTAATCTCCTGGATATCTGTTTGAATCTGTTTTATGGATTCCATTTCTTTCCCCTGTTGGGTGTTTATTTTTTCCATTTCTTTCTTATGCTGGACCTTCATGGCTTCTATCGTGGTCCTGATCTCATCTATTTTTTTTGTCAGTTTCTGCTCTAGAGTCTCGAATCACAACTTTTATTTTGCTCACCATCTCTATGGTTATCTGGGAAATTATTTCTGTTTTGAATTTTTCTAGAGCCTGATTGATCTCTTTTGTTACTTCCTGTGCTTTGAGTTCAGGGTGTCCTGGTGGTTCACTATCGGCCTTTTCAACCTCATTTGCCCTACTGTTTGCCATTGGTGAACTGGAAGTCTGTCTTTGTGTCTTGCTTAAGTGTTTTCTCATTTTTACTTTTGTTGTCAGGCTGTCCTTGATTTAATCTCTGGGTTATCACCCAAATCTTCCTGATACAGTTGTGCCCTAGCTTCTGGGTCTCTAACGACCCACAGACATTCTCATCTTCATAACATCAGAGAAAACAGCTCATCAAATCATCTGCAATCCTTTATCCCAACTGATACAATCAGCAACACATTATGATCAAGCACAACTTGGAAACTAACCACCTGTGGTAGACACTAGTCTATCACCTTAAACCATTTGAATTAAATTGAAATCACAAAGCAGTCCAGAACATGTCTGCAGTGAACAAACTTTTCATTATAGTATATTTACCATTTAATGTGCAATCCTTTATCCCAACTGATACAATCAGCAACACATTATGATCAAGCACAACTTGGAAACTAACCACCTGTGGTAGACACTAGTCTATCACCTTAAACCATTTGAATTAAATTGAAATCACAAAGCAGTCCAGAACATGTCTGCAGTGAACAAACTTTTCATTATAGTATATTTACCATTTAATGGCTCAGAGAGGGCTAGGATGCAAGACCCCTGATCTCAGCTGATGGCTGAACCCCATGATGCAGACTGACCTCGGGCTGCAAGGCCCAGATTGAGTTCCCCAACCTTCTGAATGGTTGAACTCCACACCGTTCTAATACAGGTTTCCCACGCCCTTTCTTTAAAGATGTTCAAAGTTGGGAACTCAGAAAAATACCCTTGATAACCACCTCTGCCTCTGCAGAGTGGGTCCAAAGACTGGCACAATCAGGAGGTCTGAGAGTGTGCAGGGGAGGAGGGTAAGGGGAGTTATGGGGGCTACCTTCCTGGCGCTGGAGCATTTGCGGCTCCAGGCAGGAGAAGGCGAGGCTCTCCTTCCCGCGGTGGATCAGGGCCCAGTCTACCTTCCTGGCGTTCTTGGCATTTTAAATAGTAATGGTAAGTAGTGTAATAAAGAGGAAGTTGGAAGCAAAATATTATCCTTATTTTCCTCCAGTGTCTTTGAACAGAGGGTGAAAGTTGGTGATAGAAGACTTAGCTCATGAATTCATGAAACCCTGGGATATGATTTCCAACACTATCTCAAAAAAATTTTTTTCTTTACTTATTTCAAAATATAGTATAAATTAATACCAAAAGATTCTAATTAAACTTTATATATTTTTGTTCATCTTTATTTTTCTGTTTTAGGGTATTCCAGACAGAGTCTCATACAAAAACAGTAAGAAAGTCAGAAATAACAGGTAAATATGTTACTGTAGTCCCTGCTATTTTCTTTGAAATTTTGATATGACTATATAACCAGGTAATTGATATAACTTATTGTCTGGTTCTACCAGTTCCTAAGGCCTTTGTACTGAGCTATATCCCCAGCCTTTTTTAAAACCTTTTATTCTGAGGCAGATCTTGTCAAGTCACTAAGTGACCCAGGCTGGGCTCAGAACTCCCAAAGTGCTGGGATAACAGGTGTGTGCTAATACACTCAGACTTTTGTCTGTCTCATTGCTTAAAAAGTGTTCCATAGAGCCAGGCATAGTGGCCCCAGCTATTCCAGAGGCTTAAGCAGGAGAACTGTGATTTTGAGACCAACGTGGGCAACAGAGCAGGATCTTGTCTCAAAACAAAAAATCTTTAAGACATGAGGCTATAAAGTAGGGTGGATAGCTGGGGATTTAGCTCAGTGGTGCTACCACCTCCCTTGAAAGCACCAGGTCCTGAGTTTGATCCCTAGTACCAAAAAAAAAAAAGTACAGTGGATAGTAAGTGATTTCTTTGTAAAAATTGGTGTCTGTGATTTTTTTGTATGTGCTTTATCTTTTTTTTTTGTTTTTTGGGTTTTTTTGGTACCAGGGATCAAATTCGGGTTCTTGTGCTTGCAAGGCAGGCGGTGGAACAATTGAGCTAAATCCCTGGCCCTGTATGTGCTTTATCAGTGTATCTTTCAAAAACCGTAATTTTTATTTTATTTTTAGAAACAGAAGTAGGAGAAAATGTTCTGTTTACCAGGTAAGTAAGGGACATGTTCAAATTATATAAAAAAGTTTATTCCTAGGCTAGTGTGGTGGTTCATGCCTGTGATGCCAGCACTCAGGAGGCTGAGGAGGAAGATCTCTATGAGTTGAAGGGCAGGATTAGCTAAGGTGACTCCCTGTATTGAAAAAACAGTAAAACAAAAAATTTTACTTCTAGTAAATGAAGTCTAAAATATTTTCTTTTTGTATTTTTATAACCCTTTTTAAAAATACAATTCAAAAAAATTTTTGCAAAATGTAGTATTATTACTGCTCTATCTGATAAGAATGTGCATTATCAAATTTATAGTTTTAATATAAATTAAAATACTCCAATTTCATATATAAATCCTTAAATTCATTAAATCAGATTTTTTATTAGTCTTTTTTGCTATAATATTAATACTGAGTATCTTTTATCCAAAATGCTTTGAACCAAAAGTGTTTCAGATTTTGGATATTTGCATAGATTTTACCATCAGAGTATCCCTAATCTGAAATTCTGAAATCTAAAATGCTCCAAATGTAAACTTTTTTGAGCATTGTATTAAAAAGGGTCTAAATTTGAGATTTCGAAGGCTGAACCTCTACATAGAAAAGTAACTTTTAAACAAGTGAAAAGACCCTCATTCATCATAAGACAAATACAAATTCAGACTATACTATACAAATTCAGACTATACTAAGTTTTTGGTTTTGTTTTTGGTGGTACTGGGGTTTGACCTCAGGACGGTGTGTTTGCCAGGCAAGTGTGGCACCACTGAGCTACACCCCCAGCCCCCCATATACTGAGATATTTTTTATCAGTTAAGGATATACAGAAGAAGTTGCTCATTACTATTGGGAGTATATAAAGGCAATTTGACAATATCATTCAGAATTTTAAGTGCATGTGCCCTGACTCAGCAATTTCATCTTTGGACTTTTAGTTTTCAGAGTCTTGCTAAGTCTGCTGAGTTGCCTAGACTAGGCTCAGACTTCCAGTACTCCTGCCTCTGTCTACCAGAGTGCTGGGATTACAGGCATAAGTCAGCATGCCTGAGTTTTCCTGTCCTTTTAAAATTATTTTAGACAGGGTCTTGCTATGTAGTTTAAGCTAGCCTTGAATTCACTGTGTAGCCCAGGCTGGCTTCTATCTTGCTGCAATCCTGCCTCACCCTCCCAAGCACTGGTATTACATGGGTGTGCCACCATGCCTGACTTTCCCAACTCTTAAATGTTGCTATTCTAGGTAATTGTATGGTATAGAGATTATAAAAATGCCTTTTTGATTTTTAGGGATAAGAATTCAGAAGATAATTTTTGTGAGATTGCTGGTGAGTATGATCAGAATATTCTTACTGTACGCCTTTCTCTTCATCTCTTGGTAAGTAATATGTAGAGGACCCATGAAGAATAATTTAAATAAAGCTTTGTTCTTTATACAAAGTCCTCTGTTTAAATTTTCACAAGCATATTACAATTTCTTTCAAACCTGCTGTTCTTTTTGATTTTCTGCCTTGGATTTCTACTCAGTCATTCATTCAAGTCAGGAATTGAGGAATTATTTTGAACTCTTCTTTTTTTGGTACCAGGGATCAAACTTAGGCCCTTGTGCTTATGAGGCAGGCAGTGAAACCTTTGAGCTAAGTCCCCAGCCCTTGAACTCTTCCTTTGTTCCCCAAATTTATTAGCTTCTACTTTCTGTATATTCTGTCTTGTAAACATCTTGCAAATCAGTTATTTCTTATTTTTCTGCCATTACTTTAATTCGAGTCTTCATTATTTTCCGTTGGGCTATATCATATCTAATTTCTTATCTTTCCAATCCATTCTTTCGGTTTTGTTGTTGTTGTTTTTGGTATTGGGAATGGAACTTGGGACGTTGTGCTTGCGATGCAGGTGGCAGAACCACTGAGCTAAATTCCTGGCCCCATCTTCATATTTCTAAATTTGATTACATTACCTCCCAGTTTGAAATGTTCAATGACCCTTTTTTGCTGACAAGATGAAGTCCTTAGCTCTGACTTAGGAAAGTCCTTTATAATTTGGGCTGTCTTTTTCTCCAATCTTATCTCCTGCTTTTTAGAGGTATCCTGTGCTCTAGCCCATGATAAATTGTTTGCAGTTCCTTGTATGGACTTTTTCTGCTTCTATGCATTATAAATGCTATTTTCTCTATCTAAAGTACTATTCCTACTCCAATTTGCCTGTCAGTCTTCATTTTTTCACTTCACTTAGTTTTTACTTCAGTGCTATTCAAAGTAGCCAATCCACAAAATATTACAGTCCTTAACAGAAAAGGAACTTCTATCATAATACAAATTAAGTGTGGTACAAATTTAACTGTTGAATTCAACTAACATTTTTTTTCTTAGCAAGGCTTTTTTTTTTTTTTTTATGTGGTACAAATTTAACTGTTGAATTCAACTAACATTTTTTTTCTTAGCAAGGTTTTTTTTTTTTTTTTTTCAGTACTGGGTATCAAACTCTGGACCTTGTGCTTAGAAAGCAGGTGGCAGAAATACTGAGCTAAATCCCCAGCCCAGCAAAGCTTTCTTGATGAAGGAATTTTTACATGATTTACATTTGCTGAAGGTTCCTTATCTAGTCATCATGAATTGATAACAGAGTTCACAGATGGATACCATCCTGCAAGTAACTCTGTCTTAAGTGGAGTCTTAACAAAATCTTGGGGTTGGCTACTATTTTACATATTTACCTAATGCTCCATTTATTTTTCAGTCTATTTTAGAATTTATCACATTGAATTTTAGTCATTTACTTTGGCTTTTTAATTAAATTGTGAAATCTTTAGTCCAGAAATTTTGTCTTGTTCATCTTTGTACTTATACACACTTGGAAATTTTTTGTATATGGTAAGCCTGAATCAATGCTTGCTAAATAAATGAAAGCCTGATATAAATTAGGCTTTTACTAAAAGTCTCAGGCTGAGGCAGGAAAAACTGCTGTGTGTTAAGACCAGCCTGGGCTACATAGTGAGCTCCAGGCCAGCCTGCACTACAAAGCGAGACCCTGTCTCAGTAAAAAGTCTTGTAATTATATTTCATCATATATACTAAAGTTTACCATATACATAAATGATGTTTTAATGTTTTTTTCTGATATTATATAGCATCTCCAATCCATTCCTTATTTTCAAAGTCCTTTTTGTTAATCACTTTTGTTTGTTTGTTTTTGTGACAGGGTCTGCTTTGTAGTTCAGGCTGGCCTTGAAATCTCAGTGATCCTCCTGCTTACACCTTCTAAGTGCTGAGTAACAGGCATGGAACACATACTGGGCTTTCAGTTTTAAAATATCTTGTCTAATTCTTTTTTGTTGTTTATTTCTTGCCCTAACATAAGCTCTTACCTTGTTATACTTGAACTATTGTAGTAGATACCTTATTGGTTCATCTTCTCTTTGATCTATTTTCTTTTCCTAATTATGTTTATTACTTTTCTAAAATGTATATTTTATTCTGAATTGAATTATTCAAAATGGGAGCATTTAAATCTTTTGGAATTAAACCAGTCTTTTTTGTTAGCTTTTTAAGATAAAATGCTTGTATTTGTATTCTCCATGTTTTAGAGAAATTATTTATGTGATGTTTATAGGTCTGTGCTTTTTCACCTAAGAAGCAGAATCTCATTCAGTACATTTAGCTTTATCAGTAATGAAGCCTGATCTCTGATGGGCTATGTCAGAGGCACAGAACCTAGAATGTATGTACTCACTTTGGGGTGTGCATTTTGTGCCTTGAAACAGTTTGGAAAGTGTCCTGGAAAAGCCAGACAGTCCCCTTTACCTTCAAAAGAATTTTATATATATTTATGAAGATGATTCTGTATTCTAGTGCATCTTTTTGGGCATGGACTAATTTGTATCTCTTCATACTCATATTCTGCACGATCTATGTATATCAAACTTAAGAGAGGTATGACCTTAAATTTATTTTTTTTAAAAACTGGAAGGTCAGTAAAACTTAAATTGTATACAAATGCTCAAAGTAAATAAATTAATTAATAAAATGCATATTTTAGCCTGGGATGTAGCTCAGTGGTACTGTACCTACTTGGTAAGCACAAGTCTTGAATGTGATCCCCAGTACCAAAAAAAAACATTTACATATTTTATAAAGTGCATTATGTCTTATAATGGACTTATTTTTATAAAATGCATGTTTCACTATAGGAACATCTGTATTCCTTAACATAGCATAAAAGATCCTTAAAAAATCTTATCCTAATCTTTCAGTCTCATTACTTAGTATTCTTCATTATGTACCTCTGCTATCTGGGAAGTAAAACTATAGACTATAATAAAACATAGTAAGTAAAATATAATAAGTAGTAGTCTAAATTTTCTACTTTTAAAATTATCACCACATTCTACAAATATTTTGTTCACACATGATAAAATCATCATCAATCTCTCTATTTAAAAGAAGTTAGGAGCTAGGGGAACAGCTCAGTGATGAGTGCTTGCTGAGGCCCTTAGTTCAGTCCCCAGGACCCATACCCACATGTGCAAAGACAATTAAAAATCTTTTTTTTTTCTTTTTTCTTTTTGGTACTAGGGATCAAACTCAGGACTTGAGCTTGCCAGGCAGGCAAGGTGCCACTGAGCTATCCCCCTGGCCCTAAAAATTTTAATAAAATTTAATTCATAAGTCCTTATGAAGAACTTAGTAACTGGTAAATACAGTATTTTTAACTGATAAAGGATCTAAGAAGTGGAAAATCAGGTTCTTGGTGATAGAAATTTTTTTGTGACTATAATTTTTTCTCACTTCTCAATAGGGATGAACACATTGCTTTGTGCTCCCATCCAGACCCAGATACAGGAAAGAGAGGTATGAGTTCACTCAAGTACTTTTATTTTTAAATCTCTGTAAGTTAAAACTTTAAAAAACACCAAAAAAGTAATAATGATGGCACAATTTATGGATGACTTACCAAAATGAATCAGCATAGACTGGAAAAACCTCCTACCTGCCCAGTTAATTAAGAATAGTTAAATCACTGCCAGTTTAAATAATGGGGAGATATATTACACCAGGAATTCTAAAACTTTAATGAACATATGAGTAATCTCTGGATTTTATTAAAATATAGATTCTTTGAAAGTCAGTTCAACCTCTCCTTTAAGAAAAATAGTTTGATTGATCCAGTAGATCACATCCAGAAGATAAGGGGTAGATTGTGAGAATCTGTATTTGTAACAGTCTAATTGATGTTAGTGTGTAGGTCCACAGACCATACTCTGAGTAACAAGGAGTTAGACTGTGTCTTTACACATTAAATGACCAGAGCCCAGAGTATAATATAAACTAGCTATCATACACTGTGCCTTTCTAAGACATTTTTGTTTAGGATGAGAATGACCTATCCAATATAGAAACTTCATTATGGTTGCGCTTGATATTTTCAGGGTTTTTCTTTCTTTTTTCTTTTTTTCCATTTTCAAGTCATTCAGGAGGGTAAACAACCTTGAATTTTTAATTTGTTCCCAAACACTAAAAAGTAAATTACAAGCCAGGTGTAGTAGCGCACACCTATAATAAATCCCAGCACTTGGGAGGCTGAGGCAGGAGGTTTGCTGTAAGTTCGAGGCCAGCCTGGCCTACATAGTGAGTTTGAGGCCCGTCTGAAGTACCTAGGGAAGACCCTATCTTAAAAAACCAAAAAAAAAAAGGGTCTGGGATTTAGCTCAGTGGTGCTGCCGCCTGCCTCACAAATGCAGGGTTCTGAGTTCGATTCCCAGTACCATAAAAAGGTAATTATTCACCCTTTACAGAAATTTTAAAAACAAATTATATACAGCATACAATAACATTGACTCATCAATGAGAATTGTTTAAATAATAATTGTAAAATATTTTTTTAAAATTTACATTTGGTTTAATCTCCTGTTTTTTCTTTCCCAATAGTTTTCAAGTATAGAATATAACCAGGAAGGGAAACATGCAAATGATCAGACAGTCATCTTTTCAGCTGAAAATCAGATGGATCTGACAGCAAGTCACACAGTGTTGATTGCTAAAGACCTTTCAGATTGTTCCAAAAATGAAAAATCCACTAAAATAGATACCACATCCTTTCTGGCTAACTTAAAACACCACACTGAGGATTCAAGAATGAAAAAAGAATTAAAATTTTCCATGGATCAAAACACTTCAGAAAAAAAAATAAATTCTAATGACTTCATAAAAAGGTTGAAAACAGGGAAGTATAATGCTTCTCCTTTTACAGGGCCTAATAAAGAAAATTCTGAAATTCCTATTTATTCTGAGGAATCAAATAATGTACCTTCCACCCATCAAATATGTACATCTCTTACTGTAGATGAGAACAGTAGTAATATGACTAGAATCTTTAGCAAACAAGATGATGGAATGAATTTCACCCAGTGTCATACAGCTAATATTCAGACTTTGGTTCCCACAACCACTGAGGCCAACTTAAGGGAATATAAAAGTGACATTACAATTTATGGCAATGACTGTATGGACTTGACAATTAACCACACATTACAGGTTTTACCCTCTGCAGATAATTTATCCGAAACAGAAAATGAAACTCAAACTGTCATGGATATTGCAACATATGATGGAACTAAAGCTCTAGGGAAGAACACAATCTTTAAGAATAAATTAAATGTTGCTTTTCCAGACCCTTACTTAAATCCTGAAGATAAAGTACATATAAAAAGTCATATTACAGAGTCAGAAACTTGCACAGTCACTCAGACTTCTGATCAAGATGCCAGAACATTGCAAGTGGCCCAAGGATCTATATGTTCTAGTCCACTTATTCAAGGTAATAAGACAGTTTTTTATTCTACTTGTAATGATGCCATGGAATTGACCAAGTGTCTTCCAAGTGTGAAAGAGGAGACAAATTTGCTAAAGCATGGCAATAATTGTTTTAAAATATGTCCCAATCCAGATGCCATCTCTTTTCTCTTAGAGAAAACTATTTACTCAGGAGAAGACAGCATGGACATTACCAAGAGTCACACAGTTGCAATAGATAATCAAATTTTCAAACACGATCAGGCAGATGTACAGATAGAAGCTGCACCAATATCTGAAAAAGAAAATATGCTCCAAAATTACACAAGTAGGCCAGAAGATAGAAAAATGAATGTAAATTGTAGCTCACTTCCTGGTGTACTTAAGGGAAGATTACAGCAGAGCCTGCCCTATCATGATGAAGATTCTCCTCCATCAGCTGTTTATAACGAGGACATAGCAACAAGCCACAATATAGTATATTCTGGGGCAGTTCTTAATAAACAAGCACCACTAAGAAATAAAAGAAATATAATTTCAAGTGAGAATATGACAATTAACCACGCATTACAAGTTTTATCCCCTGCAGATAATTCATCTGAAACAGAAAATCAAACTCAGACTGTCATGGATATTGCAACAGATTATGGAACTAAAGCTGTAGGAAACAACACAATCATTAAGAATAAATTTTCTAACTCAGAGCCATTATTTTCATCAGGAAGACAGTGTGCCACAAAGAATCATAATACTGCTGTGAAATCTGTACTAGGCCAGAATTCTGTGCTTCCTGAGCCACTGAGGAAAAGTTTAGATGATCCCGTACCTGACCATTCTCATGATAAAGTGACTGTTTGTTCAGAAGAGGAGCAAGCTATGGATCTAACCAAGAGTCACACTGTTGTCATTGGATTTGGTCCTGCTGAGATACAGGAAATTAGTAATACTAATGTAGAACACAGAACCATCCAGCTCCTAAGAGAAAGCACACAGACAGCTATAAAAGTGGGAAAATGCGATGAAAGTCCAATACAGCAAACTGAAGTTTTTATGTGTAATGATAAGGACATGTTAAAAGACAAAAATATACAGAAACCTGAATCTCTAAAAGAAAAACAAAATGTCAAAAGTTGTGGAAGGAAAAGTGTTGGTGAACTAAAAATTGATAATGTTGTATTTTCAGAGGGTGATAAGAATGATATAGATATCACTAAGAGTTACACTGTGGAAATAAACCGTAAACCTTTATTTGATAAACCTGACTCTCATCTGCTACCTTTGGCAGGAACTTCTAAAACTGTTTCATATGCATGTTGGCAGGATGATATGGAGATCACTAGAAGTCACACAACTGCTTTAGAATGTAAACCTATCTCACCAGATGAAATAACCTCTAGGCCTATGGACAAAACTTTAATATTTGTAAATAATCATGATGAACTAGAAATGACCAAGTCTCACACTGTTTTCATTGACTTCCAAGCAGAAGAGAAAACCGTTCTTCCAGATAGAATTAACTTTGAACAATCCATAAGGAAAAGCTTACAAAACCCAACAGTGACGTCTGACCACCCAGCAACAAAAGGTGGAATGGTAACAGTGCTAGAGGAATGGTCTAATATAGGTCCTACAGAGAAAGCTATGGCATTTATATCTGATGAGAACATGGACATGTGTAAATTAACCACTTGGAAAAATGTTAAAGATATACAAAAGCCTGGATCTGTGAATGAACCTCTGTCAGTCAAATATCAGAGAAGAAAAAGCCTTAGGCTCAAAAATGACAATGCCATTGGATTTTCAGAGAATGATAATGACATGGATATCACCCAGAGTTGTATGGTGGGAATAAATAGCAATAGTGTTCTTGAAAAGGAGAACTTCAGTGTAGTACCTTTGACTGGAATCTCTAAAACTGTTTTGTATGCCTGTGGTCAGGAAGACATGGAGATCACCAGAAGTCATACGATTCCCTCAGCATGTAAAACTGTGTCACCAGACAAAGTAACTATTAGGCCTATGGACAAAACTGTAATGTTTGTAGATAATAACGATTTGGAAGTCACCAAATCCCATACTGTTTTCATCAATTGTCAGGCCACAGAAAAAATACTTAAAGAGTATCCTAAATTTGGAGTCACAAGAGAAAAAAACCTGAGTGTTTATTTTCCTAAGGATGATACCTATGTTGAAGAAATTACTAAAAACCAAGCAAACAAAGTCATTCTTCACCCTGAGCAAAAGGATTGTATGATACCTCTTATTCCTACTAATACATTATCTGGGCATCAAAGTGAAATGGATATCATCAAATTTCGTGAGGCTGTTGCAGATGAAAAGGTCATGGAAAATGTTGCAGACCCGGCTTATACATTGGAAAAAGCCAGAATTGAAAGCTGTCACTTAAATAGTACAGATACAAAAAACGTAGATTTTACAGGTCGTGTAGCTGCTATTTGTGGATCCAGTGATAATTCTTGTTCACCAGATGTTATTTCTCCTTTTGATAATTTGGAGAATAATGTCATGTCCTTATGTGATAAAGGTAAGAAGAAAGCCAGTAAGTGCCTAGTGCAAAATGATCTTGCTTTTACAGATAATTCAGCCAGTGAACACTTTGCTCCTTGTCCTTTGTTAGAGAAGGAAGAAGTTATTCCAGCTGATTCCAAAGGACAGATAGACTGTGCTGTAACACTGCTCAAAGATCAAGATCTGCAAAAAGGGCCTCAAAATCTATTAGCTAGTCAAACTTTAGTACATAATCAAAACCTGGGGGAAATGACTAAACTTAATTCAAAGCGTGTATCTTTTAAGTTCCCAAAGGATCAAATAGAGGCCTTTGTTGATGATTTTACTTCTCAGCCTTATGTCTCAACCCAACAACTTCTGTTAACCCAAAAAGGACAGAATGTTGTCAGTGAAGATGAATCAAAACTACCTAACACTGAAAATAAGAGTTTAAATATTTTTACAGAAAATTTCTCTGTACCCACATGTTCAGACAAAGCCAAAATGCTCAGTAATGAGAAACAATTTGCTATAGTCTGTAAAAAAGAATTAAAGGAAAATATTCAGCCAGCTAAATGTAATACAGTTATAGATATCAGTAGTAACACAGACTTGACTACCTATACCAATGCTAGAGAAGCAGGTCCTGTATTTGCATCTAATGTTCCATGTTTTAGTAGTATCAAGCCGAGTCTTAATAATTTGAATGGAAAACCTGGAGAGGCTTTTGATTTTCAAACTGCTTACATACTACCTTCTTCAGAAGAATTACTCAAATCAGAAAACAAGGCACTCAATAATATGACTATAGTGCAATCTACAGAAATAGATAATATTAACATAGATTCCAGTGGTGCTAAACATAACAAAATTGAAGAAAATAAAAATTCTCATAATGGGGATGAAACTACCTCTGCACCACTAAAGACAGTTGTTAAAGATAAAATGAGGTGTTCTTTGGGAATCTTTTTGCCCAGACTGCCAAACAAGAGAAATTGTAGTGTGACTGGTATTGATGACATAGAGCAGATTCCAGTAGATACAACTGCTCTAAGTCACTCAGAAACTCAACCAGTCTCCAGCAAAGACTCAGGAATTAGATCTGTTGCAGCTAAACTGAATTTAAGTCCATCTCAATATATAAATGAGGAAAATCTTCCCATGTATTCTGGTGAGATTAATTCCTCAGAATCGATTAGCATAGAAATTGAGGGAAAGCCTTTGATTGAGAAATATCAAAAAGAGATTTCACCATCTGAAGACAAAATGGAAGAAACCAGCAATAGCCAAAAAAGAACCTGGGTACAAGATGATGATGATGTTGAAAATGAGAAAAAAATCAGAAAATATGAAACTAAGCTTAAAGATTCTACACAACATCAGGAGGTGAGCTCTGTTTTGAACCAAGGAATGTTCTTCAATTTTGTTTCTTGTGGCTATCCTTGAATTTTAGTCTAAAGTATGTAGAAATTAATTATTTCCACTTACAAGGCTACAGAAACATTCCTATATACAATCTTCAGGAAATAATTTACTAACAACTAGACTTATAGTGACAAATAGCCACAAAAATTGCAAAGTATTACAAAAATTATCCAGTGTTATCTGTGTGTGAGGGCAAGGGCCTGTAATCCTAGCTGTTTGGGAGACTGAAGCAAAAGGATCAAGAGATTGAGGCCAGTCGGGACTATTTAGGGAGACCCTGTCTCAAATAAGGGCTGGAGAGGTGGCTCAGCATTCCCTAGGTTCAGTCCCCAGTGCTGCTAAAAATACCAGATGAGCAAGACATGATGGTGCATACCTGTAATCCCAGCAGTCCGAGGTAGGGAATTAAAAGTTCCGGCTCAGCCTGGGCAATTTAACAATTTAGCAAAACCCTTCTTAAAAAAAAAAAACTGGAGTTGTTACTCTGCAAAGGCTTTGGATTCAATCCCAAGTACTGCAAAGAAAACAAAAAATGTTGAAATTGTACAATTCTCAACATTTTTTTTGTTTTGTTTTGTTTTGGGGGTGGGGTTGAGACAGGTTCTCACCATGTAGCTGAGACTGACCTGGAATTCACTATGTAGCCCAGGCTGGTCTCGAACTCACAGCGATCCTCCTGCCTCAGCCTCCCGAGTGCTGGGATTACAGGCATGCGCCACCATGACCGGCTATTCAACTTCTATCACCTCTGATGAGTTGTCACTGTTGCTTTGCATATGAGAATCTCTTGGGATATATGTAGTTTGAAAAGTGATCTTCAATGTTAGAAATATTTGGGGAGTTTGAAGGTTTTCTTTCCCTAATGGAATGCTTTACGAATTTATGTCATTCTTCTATAAGGGCCATGATAATCTCTGTATTATTCCAATTTTAGTAGTATATATATATATGCTGCGAAAGCAAGCACTAATAAGCTTTTCTATTATGTAAATTGCACAAAAGAAAAGTTTAGCTGAGTGTGATGGCACACACCTGTAATCCTAGCACTTCAGAGGCTGAGCCAGGAGGATTGCAAGTTCTAGGCGCTCGCAGCTGGCTGTTTGTATTATTGAAAGCACTAAAAGGTTTGTCATCCGTGTTCTAGGCCACCCTGAACAACTTAGTGAGACACTGCATCCAGATAAAAAGGGCTGAGGAAGATAGTTCAGTGTGAAGGCCATGGGTTCAAACCCCAAAAAGTAAAGAAGCTTGTCCAAGTTTTCTTGGCTAATGAAAATACATAGAAACTGAGAGTTCATTTGTTAGTGTGTGGGAGAATGCCTTAGTGAAGCCCAGTATCTCAAAGTGAAATAAGATTTTGTATTCATTGAAAGAGGACAAATTTCTTTTAATTTTTGTTTTTTAAGTTGAGAGAAATTTATTTGGAAAACTTCGTAGAGAATAAAACCTGTCACACAAACTAAGTTTGGTGTTTTTTTTTTTTATAGGTGGGGAATAAAGATTCATAGAATACATACAAAGTTTAAATTCTTTTAAGAACCACATAAATAAACATAGAATGATTTCAGTGCCTCCTTGAGATGAGATCATCGAGCATGGTAGCCCACACCTATAATCCCAGCAGTTGGGAGGCTAAGACTGGAGAATTATGAAGGCCACCAGAGTGAGACTCTGTCTCAAGAAAAAAAAATCCCCTGCAAAAAACCCAGAAAACAAAAATAGATGAGGTCATGAGGGAGTAGTTATGAAGCTTTTAAAAACTAGTAACTGGATTAGTAATATAATTATACTGATTAGATTTTATGAACGTTAGTATTGTCCAATAAATATTTGTTGAGTCATATACTAGGCACTATTTTAGATGCTAAGATTGAATCGGTGGGACCGTACCAACACAAAAAATCTTTCGTGGAGCTTGCATTCTACCTTTTAGAAAAATATATTCAAAAAATATGTAAAGGGCTAAGGACGTAGTTCAGCAGTGGAGCACTTGGCTGGCATACATGAGGTGCTGAGTTCAATCACCAACACCATAAAGAAGTAAATAGGTAGATGAGGGTGATTTTTTTATTTTTTAAGAGGGTTGCTCTATGTAGTTTGGGCTGGCCTTCCACTCACTATGTAGCCCAGGCTGGCCTCTAACTCATGAGGATCCTCCTGCCTCAGCCTCTTGAGTGCTAAGATTACAGGTGTGCATCACAGTGCCTGGCTCCGAAGATTATATTTAAAGCTGTAAAGGCAAATGATTAAAATGGTAAAAAGCAAGGCTACATCATTGTTTGATTTGGTCAGCTGGGGAGGTGAGTACAAAAGGTCAGAAGTAAGTTTCATTTCTGAATACTAGCCAGAGCCACCATGCATACTCAACATTGTAGTCTGGTTTTCTGTGATGAAGTAACCCAGTTGTTGGTGGCTATTAGTTGAATAAGTGGGTAAGTCAACATTTGGTAGATATAGAACCTGACTATAACTTAGATATAGCTAAGGAACCGTTTGCTTATATACTTTAATGCATAAAATTATATTTTTATATATGTATTTATTTATTTATTGGTGTTTTGAGACAAACTGTCACTATGTAGCCCAGGCTGGCCTTGAACTCATGGCAATCCTCTTGCCTCAACCTCCCAAGTGCTGAGATAACAGGTGTGTTACTTTGCCTGGCTAAAATTATATATCTTTAATAATATTACTTTTAACTTAATTAAAAGCCAAAGTTGCCCGATACTCTAATTTTTTATGAAGGCATTTCATGGGAATTATAGATGAATTTTATGTTAGAGGTATTATGTTAGTATTCAACAAACATTTAGCTGTTTATACTGTATCATAACTTCTGACGTTTCGCAATTGATAATTTCAGATTTTTGATCACCATACTGAAGGGGATATAGATAAAAATGCTAGCAGTGTATTGATAAAAAGCCTGAGCAGGACTCCATCTAGTTCCAGCAGCTCTCTGGATTCAATCAAGGCTGATGGGACCTCACTGGACTTCAACAGTAAGATCTTCATGAAGGCTGAATAACAGCTATTATCTACATTTTGTTGTGGTTAATCTGCATGCTTGAGTAATAATAAATGCATTTCAAGTTAGGAAATATTTGAACATAGTTTAAACCTTTTCAAGGTTATAAAAAGTTAATAAGTAAAATACTTATTAACTTATTTATTTTAATTCAATAAATTGAGAAGTGATATACTACAAAGGAATGCAGTTACTTACTTCAGAGGCTTAAGAAGCATTGAATGGAGCCTTAAAACTGATATTATTTTGCCTTACTAAATGATTTTCTTCCCCAAACCATCCCAGTGGGTAGATCCTAGATCATGAACAACACATAAATCTGGATGATAACTACAATTATATTTACAATTTAATTTTGACTTAGTTATCACATGAATTTGCTTTATTTCTAGTGTCCCGGAATAGTCAAATGGAATCCCAGTTTCTTGGACACACTATTTGTGAAGAGAGCTTGAGGGAGGTATGTTAAAAGTACTTTTTATTTCTAATGGACTAATTTTCTTGTTTTTTGTTTTGTTTTGTTTTTTAAAATTTTTTAAAAAGTGGACATGGTAGTAAAAGCTAGCAATCCCAGCACTTTGAGAGGCTGAATCAGGAAGATTATAAATTTGACCCTCGCCTGGGAAATTCAGTGACTTTAATATGTCTCAAAATAAAGGTAAAGCTAAGTATGGTGGCGTATATATGTAATCCCAGCAGTCAGGAGGCTGAGGCAGGAATGATTACTGAAAATTTGAGGCTAGCCTGAGCTACACAGAGAGATCAGTCTCAAACAATAAAATAAAATAAAAACTTAAAAGGCTGGGAATATAGTTCCAAGGCCCAGGTTTCAGTCTCCATACTACACATGAAAAAAATTTTCAGGGTCTGCTATGTAGTTCAGATTGTTCTTGAACTCTCTCTGTAGTTCAAGCTGGCCTTGAACTCACAGAGATCCTCCTGCCTCAGCCTCCTGAGTGCTGGGCTTTCAGGCATTCACCACCATACATGGCAAAAATATTTTAAAATTGCGAATCAATCCTGGGTACCAATAAAATAAAATAATGAAATATTTCAAACATACAGATTAGTTTTCTTTGTTAAGGACTCAACAATTAATATGAAATAGAATTTTAGTCTATACCACAGACTAGGTAATTTATAGAAAATAGTTTACCAAAAAAAAAAAATTAAGATTTATTTAGTTGATGGATCTGGAGGCCACAGCATGGCACAGACATCAGCTCAGCTCCTGGTGGGGCCTCCTTGCTGAGGGTGAGTCTGCAGTGGGAAGATAGAGCAAACTTGCTAACCTGGGTCTCTTTCTTCAGAAGCCACTAATGTAATCTTAGGGACCCCACCTCATGACCTCATCTACCTCCCAAAGACTTTGAGGATTAATTTCAGCATGAGTTTTTTTTTTTTTTTATTGAGTTTATTGGTACATTTAGGGATACAGTACAGTTACATTCATTGTTGGGATCATGTACCTTTACATGGCAAGTCTTGATTCTCATTTTTTCCCCTTACCTCTGCCCTCCCTTCACCCCCTCCTCCCCTCCCCATCTACAAACACTTTATTTTCATCTTTTCATTCTCTCACATTTTTTTCTTTTCCCTTTTTGTTCTTCCCCTACGTATCACACCTTCCCTACACCTTTAGCTCCTTTCCTCCCATTTCTAAATGTCAGTAATCTTATTAGAATCTTACAGCATGAGTTTTTGAGCAGACAATATCCAGACTATCCAAGTAGAAATGAAGATTAAAAGACATATGCTTTGGCTTTTATAAACTCTTATTATTGAATAACCTTAAGAAATAATCTTAAGGGCCGGAAATTTAGCTCAGTGGTTCTGCCGCCTGCTTCGCAAGCTCAAGGTCCCAAGTTCCATCCCTGGTACCAAAATAAATGAATGAATGAATGAATTAAAAAAAAAAAAAACAAGTAAAATCTACTCATGTATAGTTGCTTATTTCTGAATATTTGTAGAGATATATGCGGAGCAGTTTAAGTAACTTAGAGAAAAGTGAGCCCCTCTGATGGCCATGCAAACTTTTCTTTTTTCAGAAACTCAAGGATGGGAGAATAACAGTAAGAGAGTTCTTCATACTTCTTCAGGTCCACATCTTGATACAGAAACCCCGAGAAAGCAGTCTCCCAGCCAAAGTAAGTGCAATTTCTTGGCAGTAGTTATCTCAATTAAAATATATTGTACTGTTCTCTTTTTTTTTGGTTATTTGAGACAAGAGTTTCACTATGTAGTTCAGGCTGGCCTTGAATTCACTGTGATCCTTGTGCCTCAACCTCCCAACTACTAGAATTACAAGCATGTGCCACTATACCCAGCTGTACTCGTCTACTAAACTGGATCAAAGCAACCATCTCATTGTTTGTTTGTTTTCTGTTTTTTGAGACAGGGTCTCACTATGTAGTTGAGACTGACCTGGAATTCACTATGTAGCCCAGGCTGGTCTTGAACTCATAGCGATCCTCCTGCCTCAGCCTCCTGAGTGCTGGGTTACGGGCATATGTTACTACGCCCGGTTAAGTGTAGAAGTTTTTGATAAACACTTTTTAAACTAAAAGCAGCTGGATATGGTGGTGCCCACCAATCACTGCAGCACTCAAGAAGATGAGGTAGAAGGATCATTGGGAGTTCAAGGCCATCCTGAGATAGATAGTGAGTACTAGACCTGCCTGAACTACATAGCAAGACTATCTCAAAAGCAAACAAAATCAAAAACAAAAATTCTGAAAACATATAACAGAATATTTGAGTAACAAAATTGACAAACTCCATCTAAAAGATTAATAGAAACACATACCCCAGTCAGCTGCAATGGCACATGTCTATAATCCCAGCACTGAAGGAGGATGCAGCAGGAAGGTTGCAAGTTTGAGTCCCATCTCGGCAATTTAGTGAGACCCTGTCTCACAGAAAGGTTGAGTAAGCGTATCCTGGGGATCAGCTTAGTGCTGCTGGGTTCAACCTTTAGTAAAAAAAAAAAAAAAAAAAAAAAAAAAAAAAAAGAAAGAAAGACAACTCACAAAATGGAAGAAAATATTTGCAAATCATGTTTTTTTTGAGGGGGTGGTTTTTTGACACAGGGTCTCACTAGGTAGTTGAGACTGACCTGGAACTCACCATGTAGCCCAGGCTGGTCTCAAACTCACAGCAATCCTCCTGTCTCAGCCTCCCAAGTGCTGGGATTACAGGCGTGCGCCACCACGCCTGGCTTGCAAATCATGTTAAGAGGCTTGTCCAGAATACATAAAATACTCGTACAACTCAATATAAATATAAGCCAATTAATGGTCAATGGACTTGAATAGACTTGAATAGGGGGAGATGTGTGCCAGCTCTTAAAGAAAATGTATGCAGTTGCAGGAACTTAGCTGGCAGCACTAGCAGAAGGTGCTCTTGTAGTGGCCCATGAACTCCTCCATGCTCATGAGTGGCTAATGCTGAACACTATAACTCATATCTCCAGCAGGGCTGAAGCATGATTGTAGGTGCTCTTGTCAGGCCTAAAGTATCCAGGTGATGGCTGAAAAAGTTGGGTGGTTAATCAACATACATAAATCAGAAGAGAATAGCTTTTATAGCCTGGTCCTGAGTTCAAGGTGCCACAAGTTAATCTACCTACTACATACAGCAATTAACCGCATGTAGTATGTTCCACAGTGCATGCATCCAATATCCACTGGCAGGAATCTGATTATTATGTTCTTTGATGGTTGTGAACATTCATGAAGAAAACTGCCCTTTGGGGAGAAAAAGTATCATGAAAACTTTCAACAGAACTAGAGACTAGTTTAACAAATCCACGTGTATCTACCACCCAACTTTAAAAGTTATCAGCTCTTTGTTGGGGGTGTAGCTCTGTAGTAAAACATGTACTTAGTTGGATTCCCTGCAACAAAAAAAGAAAAAAAATCAACTATTGTTTTGTCATTACCTCTCATTTCTTTATTCCGGTTATTTTGAAGTAAATCCTAGTTATCATTTTGTCTGTAAATATTTCAGTATATCGCTAACAAAGAGAAAAACTTTTTGTGGGGGGACATGGTCTCACTAAGTTGCCCAAGCAGGACTCAAACCTGCCTTAGCCTCCCAAAGTGCTGGAATTATAGGAGTTCACCACCACCACCAAAAGCTAGTACTTTTTATTTTTAAAACATCCAAATACCAAAATTGGCCCATAAAATAATTATTCAGTTAGTATTTATATTTCTCTGGTTGTCTTACATTTTTTCAGTTTGTTAAATTGGGACCCAAAAGAGGTTTAACACTGTAGTTAGTTGAAATTTTTTAGCTGTCTTTTACTTTGTAAGATCCCCTTGAATCTGTCACACTTTCTCCTTTTTTTCCTCCTTCCCTCTCTTTTCATTTAAAAAAAAAAAAAGAAAAGAAAAGAAAAAAAAACAGGAACAAATCAGCCTTATGTTGGAAAATGCAAACTAGGACTTTCATAGCTTTCTTTTCAATTATAATTGCTTTCAGAGCCAGGTGTGGTGGTGCACGCCTGTAATCCTAGCATTCAGAGGTTGAGACAAGAGGATTATAATTTGAGCCCAACCTGGACAATTTAGCAATTTAGCAAAACTTTGTCTCAAAATAAAAAATAATAAAGAGCTGGAGATTAGCTCAGTGTGAAGGCCTCAGTGTTCAATACTTAGTTTTGCACACACAAAAAAATGAGTCTCATCTGTATTATGCTGATTTTATAGATGAGGAGTCCGAAGCATGGAGTAGTAAAATAACATTCTGTGCTGCAATGCTTGTGAATAATTTAGTTTTCACAAGAAATGTTACATAAGGAGCTAACTTGATTTTTCCAATATAGCATGAATGATAGTGAAAAGGCTTTGGATTAGATCTATAAAACTTTTTAAACTAACCAGATTTTCACTGTTTTGTTTTACAAATGGGGCATAAGCTAGGAAAGTTTTGAGTTCATTCTGGGATAAAAGCAAGAGTCGTGGCTAGAGAATGGGAAGAGAAGAGAATTAGCTGGGAAACTAACCTTTCTTTCTTTTATTTTATCCCATTCCACCTCTCAGGCTCCCTACCCTCCCTATGTACAGAAGCTTTGTTTTTCTTTCTTTAATAAAAGGGTCCCTGACAAGTTTGAGTTTTAGGTATTGATTTTTCTTAAGACAATGTGTAGCCATTTTTAACCACTTTCAATTCTGTATGAATGAAATACCTGAAGTTCCCTAAACAGCTGTGGTGGAGTAGACTTTGAAGTAAGAGACTATAATTCAAATTCTAACTTGTATCTTTTTTTTTCTTTAAAAAATATTAACAAATATATTTATTGTGGTGGCTTTCTCCCCTACTAGACACACCTAGTTAGAAAGTAAGTATTCCTTTTAGTTCCAGGTGGAGCAGTAAGGTAATAAAATTTTCCCTCTTGTTAACAGAGAAAGGAAACACATGACTTTGCAAACATGGTATGGTGTATTCACCTTGCTCTGTTTTTTTGTTTTTTATTAAATCAGAATTTCCACCTAATAAGTATGATTCTATTTTTAGAATAAAGTTACAGGCACATGTTTACAGACTTATGTATCCACTTTTATTTATTTACATATATATATTTGGGGGGAGGCAGTATCAGGGATTGAACTTGGGACATTTTGCTTTCAAGGCAGGCAGTGGAACCTCCGAGCTAAATCCCTGGCCCAACAGACTTATATGGTCCTAAGGGCAGCAGAGGCTGATGTAGTAGTGCTGCCATAGATTAGAGACCTGTTCCAGGTGATCACAACTCTTCACAGTTTTGTGAAGCACAATAGGAATCTCCAACTCTATTTCTTCCATGTTTTGCCTTCCTCCAGTCCCACACAGAATATTTAACTCTGTTCTGCACTCTTGTGTTGTTTGCAGAAGCACAGCATAAGAGCGATAGAAGTCATCTTAATACTTCTTGGACGAAGTTGCTTCTTGACGATAAATCCTATGATTCCAAACACTGGGCCCTAATTGTGAGCTGTCTAGATCTCCCTGACAAAACCACACTGTGCTTGGAGTGGTGTTCCTCTCCCCAATCCCATATTTGTTGTGAAGGGATACTGCATCTTTCAGTTTGCAACATTATCTTTCACTCTTAAAACAATAACTGGAAAAATATTTTTTTTAATAGGGAAACAATGTTTCTTCTCCAAATGTCATCATTATGCTGATGATACTTTACAGCTTATTGATATTTATGTACAAAATTTTTTGTCTTTTAAAAGTGCACAGAAGGCTGGGCATGGTGGCTCACGCCTGTAACCCAGCCCTCGGGAGGCTGAGGCAGGAGGATCGCTGTGAGTTCGAGACCAGTTTGGGCTACATAGTGAGTTCCAGGTCAGTCTCAACTACATAGTGAGACCCAGTCTCAAAAAACAAACAAACAAACAAACAAAATGCATAGAAGCACATAAGATAATCATGTGAAAGTAACCCTTCTTTGAACTCTTGTCTCTTTGTTGATAGCTATGCCTGTGTGAAGAATATACAACTATTTGGAATGCTGTCTAGACAGAGGAGTAACTGATGTTGTCCTTCTGTGGTTCTCATGGCAATGGCACCTCTTCTGGGCATGTGGTTGAGACAGAAGCAGTGGTCTACACTAGTCTCAGGACCTTTTAGTGCATAGTACTGACCTGGACTGATTTCTGTTGTTTAACTTGGACTTTTCACTTCTTCTGCTGCAGTTTGCTTTTGTTTTCTTGTTGTTCTGGTGTGTCTCTATTGGATTCCAGACCTTTGTTGTCAGGAACTGCTTCTCTACTTTCTTCTTTATTCACTTTTTTTTCTTTGCCTCTCTCTCCCTTTTTTTCCCTCATTCTCCCTTCTGACATTTCTTTCTCTGCAGTGTATACTTCTTTGTCTCGCTTGTAGGAGGACACAGGTTACCCTTTGCTGAGGGTGCTGGATTATTTCTCAGACCGAGTTTTGGTTCCTCTTTTGAAGCCACATTCTTTTTCCTTCTTCATTCATGGACTCCAAGGGCTCCATTCACTGGCTTCGCAGCACACAATGCTGATGCACTCCATGGTGTGGTTGTTGGCTTCCAGCCCTTCTGGAAAATTGTCAGAGTGTTTTCCAAGGTGTAAATCCACTTTTACAGTTTGTGCAGAATTTTTGTTGAAACAGGTTTCACAGCTGTACATTTTATATACTTATTTATATCTGGATATCAAGTTCCATAATATCCACTTGCATGTGAAGAGAGACACACTCCTATCTGCTTCATGCCAATACTTTCCAGAACAAAAAATAGTCAGAGTTTACACAACAAACATCCACTGTAATCAGAACATGTCACACAGCTTTCTTGACAGCCTTGACTGAAGTTGGGATGCATCCTCTGCTGGTGCCTTCCCTGGGAGGTGTTCTGGCTGTCAATGTATTCCATGAAGTTCAAAACAATAAAAAATCAAGGAATCAGTCTCAAGTGCATAGTAACCCACTAAGGTTTCCCTTCTTGGTCTCCTTTTGCTTCTGATTGCTAAGTATACTGTGTCTTAAAGGCTAGATGGAGGGGCTGGGAGTGTCTCACTGCTATCTACCAGTGGCCCATGGATGGGCGGTGTCCTTGCGCTGCGGGGGTGGCTGTCAGGGAGCATTGTGGTGGCTCTGAGTCTTAGCAGCTATCCCTGGGGCCCCAGGAGCGCAGGGGTGTGGGCGCCGTGGGCAGAGTGGCCATGGCCAAGGGGCAGGAGAGAGACCCCAAGCTGCAGCCTGGGAGGGCAAGTGAGAGAGGCTCTAACTTGTATCTTATTAGCCATGTGAACTAATTTTTTCTTTTTCTTTTTCTTTTTTTTTTTTAATTTTCATTAGTACCTGTTTGCAGTACATATTGATTATATTCATTGTGAGGAGTTGGTACATGAACATAGCACATCTTAATTCTATTTATGGCCTTCACCTCCCCTGCTTCATCCTCTCCTTTACGTCTTGATCCCCTTCTCAATTGCCAAAGATCTGACTCCCTGTTTCCTATTATCCACTATTTTGCTTTTTTAAAATTTATCTATATTTGGAGTTTCTTGTACAAGAGAAACCATGTAATATTTAAGCTTGTGTGTCTGATATATTTCACTTAACACTGTAGTCTCAAGATGCATCCAGTTTTCTATAGATGACTCAAATTTACTCTTCCTTAAGCAGAGTAGTAATCCATTGTGTATAAATTCCATATTTTCTTTATCCATTTATCTGTTGATGGACATAAAGGCCACTTTCTGTGATTGGCTGTTATGAGTTATGCTGCTATAAACATTGGTATGTATCATTGTAATATGATGTCTTTAGCTCTTTGGCCAAGATACCTAGAAAGGAAATTGCTGGGTTGAAAGCAATTTCTATTTTTAATTTTTGAGGAATCTCCACACTGATTTTCATAGTGATTGTACCAGGACACATCCCCACCAACAATGTAAAAGAGTTTTTTTTCCCTGCAGCCTCGCCAGCATTTGTTATTAACAAATTTCTTGACTGCCATTCTTTCTGGAGTAAGGTAGAATCTCAGTGTTTAAATTTGCATCCTGCTAATGGCCAGAGATGCTGAACAGTTTTTCATGTATTTATTGGCCATTTGTACTTCTGAGATATGTCTCTTCATTGAAGTTGCTAATTTTTTGATTGGATCTTTTATTTTGTGGGGTCTAATTTTTTTTAAAGTTCTTTACATATTCTAGGTATTATTTCTCTGTCCAATATACAGGTTGCAAAATTTTGTTCTCATTCTATAGGTTGTCTCTTCATTCTGTTGCTTGTTTTCCCTTTTCTGGGCAAAAAGCTTTTTAATTTCTATGTTTCCGTTTGTTGATTCTTGATGTTATTTCTTGTGCAATGAATTTTTGTTCATGTCTTCAAGAGTTTTACCTATTTTATCTTCCAGCAGATTAGCTGTTTCTATTTTAATGTTTAGATCTTTGATCGGCAAATTTTTTTTTTCCTCATTGAGTTTATTGGTACATTTTAGTACAGTTACATTCATTATTGGGATCTTGTTCCTTTACATGACAGGTCTTAGTTTTCATTTTTTCCCCTTGTCCCTGCCCCTCTTTCACCCTCCTCCCCTCCCCCTTTACAAACACTTCATTTCCATTTTTTCATTTTCTCATATTTTTTTCTTTTCCCTTATTAGCTTTCCCCTACCCTTCCCATTTCCCTACACCTTTAGCCCCTTTCCTCCTATTTCATATTGTGCAAGTTTTTCTTTGTATACTTTTTTTCTTATACGATAGGGAATTGAACCTAGGCTCTCATACATACTAGCTAAATACCCTACCATTAAAATACACCTCCCCAACTCGGTTTGTATAACTTTTAAAAATTATAGGCACTCTCAGCTAAACTTGGTGGTTTATGCCTATTCCCAGCACTCTGAGAAGCTGAGACAGGAAGATTGCAAGTTCCAGCCCAGCTGTGCATCTTAATGACTTAAAAGACTCTGTCTCAAAGTGAAAAATAAAAAAGAACTGGAGATGGAGATATAGCTCAGTGCAAAATACTAGGTTTGATCCCCAGTACTGAAAAAAGTTAAGCACTCAGAAACTTGAATTCATTCTTCATGGTTTTTGTTCTAAAGATGCCAGTTCTTAGATACTGATTTATTTATTTTTTCAGTTTACTATAAACACATCACCTACTCCAGAAGACCTGATGTTGAGACAATATATTTATGGACCCAAGATACAGATTTACAGAGAAGATTGTGAGGTTCTTCACCAAAAGATTGAAGAGTAAGAAAAATTTAATTTTTCTGTGGTTTTGTTTTGTTGCTATTTTTTATAAGAAAATAGTCTGTGTGGTAAAGTTACAATTAGAATAGCACTGTCCAGGGAAAAAGTTGATAGCATGAATTCGCATTGAAAAGAGTTTGGGTGGAAAAGCTTTGGCTTTATAGTAGATCAACAACACTAGTTGTATGACATTGGGCAAGTGATTCAACCTTTATTTCAATATCCACAAAGTGGGGATAGTAATACCTACTTGGTAGGTGGAAAGGAACAGTGAAAATACTGTATATAAAATATTTTACCATACCTACAAAAAGTAACTCTTCAATAAAAAACAATAATATTTAGTATATGATATCATAAATTGACCTTGAAAGAATATCTTCAAAAAGAGATACTAGTATCCTTTGGAAATTTGTATGTGGTACCTAAAGTCAAGATTGCTATAGAGCTTTTAATTTTATCACATTTACCACTCATTTATTTATCTAAAAAGAACATAGTTTTATTCATAAGATAGCTCAGTGCTTTGGTATTTGTATGCGTTGCATACTAGTTTACAAATTAGATGTACCTGGATTTTCTCAGGTAAATTAGAATGTACAATTCAAAGTAATGTTTATGTTTTATTTATTTAGGACTACTAAATTAAATTTGATCCAGCCTAACAAACAAAAGAAATGAAATGATCTTTTACGAATTATGTAGTTTTCAATCTACATGTGGTGGCACACACCTGTAATTCCAGCACTTGGAAGACTAAGCGGGGAGAATCATGAGTTTTAGGCCAGCCTGAGCTACATGTTGAGTTCCAAGCCAGCCTGGACTACATAGGAAAACCCTGTCACAAAACATACAAACAAACAAAAAGCAGCATAAAAGTAGAAATTTATGATACTGTTAAATCAGACTACTTCACATTTGCCCAATTTTGCTTTGTTTATTCAACAAATATTTACTGAGCACTTCTTATGTGCCAGGGATTGTATTAAGTAGTACTAGAGTTCATTATTAAATAAGTGATAATTTTTATTATGTTTAAAGATTGAAATGGAAGCTGGGCATATACCTGTAACCCTAGCAGTGTTGGAGGTTGAGGCAATTTTGAGCCGAGCCTGGGAAACCTGGTGATTTAGTGACACCCTGTCTCAAAATGAAAAATAAAAGTTGGGAATATAGCTCAGTGTGAAAGCCCTGAATTCAGTCCCCAGTGCATAAAAAAAAACCAAAAACAAAAAAACCAAAAAAAACAAATTTTGCACTCAATGAGCAGTGTGTTCATATGTGCTCTGCTGTTTGGATTTTTACCCATATGATACCCTATAATTTTGATAGAAATTTATTTCCTCCACTTGTTAACAAGAGACTAATGTATATTGAGATTGTTATAGCTTTGCTATTTCAGTAAATATTCTATAAAAGTAAGATATAGTATGAGCCACATATGGTAAAGCAAGTCTGTAATCTCAGTATTATGAGTGGCTGAGGCAGGAGTTTCATACAAGACCAGCTCGGGCAACTTTGTGATATAGCAATATTCTTTCCCAAAATAAAAATAATAGAATGGGCTGGGGATGTAGCTCAGTGCAAACACCCTCAGTTCAATCCCCAGTGTTACAAAAAATAAAATTAAAAACTAAAGTAAGGTATGACTGAAATAAATTGGGAACATTTACTTAAAATATTCATTACAGGTCAGTAGCAATTCTATACTGACGGGCCTTAAAGATATAAGCAGCAAGTTTTCACAGTAGAACATATATTGAAATGAGAATTATATTTGAGCAAAGTTTCTTTAATGTACAGCATTATTAAACTATTTTTTAAATGTTGAATAATCAGACTAGCCACTTTTCTAAAGTGAATACTCTCTTCTTTTTACTTAGAAAAACCCTGGGAAATACTTGCCTAACAATGTACAAGGTTCTGGGTTCTATTCCCAGTACTACAAAAAGAAAAAAACTAAGAGGGTTTAAATTAAAGATGGCTATAGATCTAGACTATTTCATTCTAGCTGACTTTTGAACACTGTGCTAATGAACTTTTCTATATTTTAGATTAAAAGTTTCTGCAGTGAACCAAGATAAACTGTTAACTGATGTAAACAGAAATCTGTGGGAAAACATGAGACACTGCTCTGATAAAGAGGTACTTTTGTTTCATTTTCTGGGTTAAACAGTATTTATTATGAAATAATTGACTGTTACTTGATAAGCAGTGATTAGGTTTTTAACTTATCTCTTAGTACACTACCACATTTTTGTTTTTTGTTTTTTGTTTTGTTTTTGGTACTGGGGGTTAAACTCAGGTCTTTGCACTTGCAAGCCAGGTGCAGAACCACTGAGCCAAATCCCCGGACCCACATTCTTATTTAATCACATCTTTTCAAGCCCGTGATGATAAATATATTTGAGGTTTCCACCTTGTTTGCCTTTCACTTAGGGTTGTTTGTTTGTTTGGTAACAGGGTTTCACTTTATATCACAGGCTGGCCCTGAACTCACTGTGTAGCCCAGGCTGGCCTCAAACTACTGGTGATCCTGTTCCCTCTACCTTCCTAGTGCAGGGATCACAGGCATATGCTACCACTCCTGGCTCCTTCACTTAGATTTAAATGAGAAGGATTTACTTTAATTAATTAAATAATAACCCAATTTTTATATGCCCTAATATATTAAAAGTGTTTATTTTCATCTCGGTCTGGTGGTACATGGCTATAATCCCAGCACTCTTGGCCAAGGCAGGAGTATCACACGTTTGAGCCTAGGCTGGGGAGCTTAGTAACTTAGCCAGACTCTGTCTCAAAAAATAAAAAGGGCTGTGGACATAGCTTAGTGATAATGTAATGTGCCCCTGGGTTTAATCCTCAGTGCTATGGAGTGGGGGAAGCCCTGAGAGCTTTGGTTTTGTTCTTAAGCTATTATATAGAATTAAATTTGCTAATGAGAAGTGTCCTGCTTTAGGCATCAGAGTCTAAATGGACACAGCCTGGCCATGTGCAGCTGAACTGTCCTCATACCATTTACGTTTCTGAGTGATTTGTTTTAGTGCAGTGTACTTTTTAATTCTCCTTACAGCTAAAGGCCTTTGGAATTCACCTTAACAAAATAAAGTCGCGTTTTACCAAGATAACTAAAGTTTTCACTCACCAAGGAAAAGTGGCTCTGTACAGCAAGCTGGTACAATCAGCTCAGGTAATTAAAGACAACACAGAAAGTGCTATTAGAATTATTTTATTGTGGTTGTGAAATAGGAAGAATATTCCTTAGGAGACCTTTGAATGAGACTTAGGTAAAAATTTAATGATTGTTCATAAAAAGTTCATGTAGTCAAAATCTTTGCATCTTGAATAAACTAGAATATAGTACTGTTATGGGCTTTTATTTCAAACATTATTGTCCATTACAATACAGAAAGTGCTATTAGAATTATTTTATTGTGGTTGTGAAATAGGAAGAATATTCCTTAGGAGACCTTTGAATGAGACTTAGGTAAAAATTTAATGATTGTTCATAAAAAGTTCATGTAGTCAAAATCTTTGCATCTTGAATAAACTAGAATATAGTACTGTTATGGGCTTTTATTTCAAACATTATTGTCCATTACAATATATATATATGTGATGGTGAACCCCTGTGATCCCAGCACTTTGGAAGGCTAAGGCAGCCAAATAACAAGTTCAAGCCCAGCCTGAGCAACTGAGACAGATACTGTCTCAAAAAAAAGGGAGTTGAAGGCTGACAGTGTGGAGATACAGCTCAGTACAAAGGCCCTGGGCTCAATGCCCAGTACTGAAAGAAAAAAAAGACTATAGGATAATCTTCCTGCCCATATATATATATGTGAATGTATTTAAGTAGCATTACTCAAAGTTATCATCCTTTTGAACCCGTTCTGTTTAAAAGAATTTTCCATTTCTGTTGAAAAATAAATATGGAAAATGTTGCATGTAATATCTTCTTTTAGAGAAATAAAAATTTTAAATAACATTAATAACCTGTATTCCACAAAATATGTATAGAAATGCTAAAGAATACTACAAAATTAGTTTGTGATTTATCTGCTTTTTAAATTTAATTTTACTTTTTTTTTGATACAGGGGATCGAACTCGGGTCCTTGTGCTTGTGAGGCAGGCAGCAGAACCACTGAGCTAAATCCCCGGCCCAATGTTCCTTATTTTTAAGAACAGATTTGAAGCTTTGACCTTCATTGTAAGATTTGCCTATTCATAGGCACAAAGTCCTAGGTTTGATCTCCAGCTCCAAAAAAAAAAAAGATTTGCCTATTCATGATTAAGACATGCAGTTATGTCAACAACTTTAACCATTTAATTTTTTTTTGATAGTTTGATCTGACAGTCTATAATATTTTGTGTTCAGAATGAAAGGGAGAGAGTTCATATGAGGATAGATGAGATGGAAAATATACTTAAGAAGATTGATAACTGTCTCACTGAGGTGGAAATAGGTAAAGTATTTTAAATACTTTCCCCGTGGGTGGGGATGCTGTGTTTGATCTCCGGCACCACAAAAAATGATAAATACCTTCCTCATATAACACTGAATTTTATCAGAATAGCTATTACTGTTCTGAAGGCTCATATTAACAATGTGACACCTTAACTTAAAGCAAATTAAAACTCTTTTACTATGTTCATCCATGACAATCAATAAGAGGCATCCAGGATAATGAGACCCTTTGGAAATTTCTTCATACCCTAGACCATAATCTTGTATTTATTAAAAAATGAATTTATCTCCATTTGAAATTTGAGTTTGCCTTCTCATAAACCCTTGTTAGTTTTGCTTTCCTGAAATTGCTTTCTTAATGACAAAATTTCACATAATTATCAAATTTGGTTTCTCTCAGCTCTTATCATCTTGACCTGTTTTACAATGCATTTGAAATTTGCTGCTTGTTCATTTTTTCCTAAAACTTTTATCCCCTGACCTCTATAAGATTACATACCTTATCCTACTCTTTTCTCTTGGCCATTCTTTAGCTCCTCTATTGGCCTTTTTCTAACTAATCCCTTGATTTAAATTTTATCATCTGGTATTTTTATATTATCTCTAATACTTTCATCTGCCTTAATAATTATGTTTATATAACTAATCCCCAAATTTAGTTAAATTAATGAAGCGTTTGTTGAGTACCTACTGCATAGCAGATACTGTGCTTAGTTAGCATCAAACATGTGCTTCTTGGGCTGGGGATAGTAATTCCACCGCCTGCCTCACAAGTGCAAGGTCCCTAGTTCAAACCTCAGTACCAACTGTGCCCCTTAGCTTGTAATCATTTTGGTCGAGCATATCTTTAACCTTTTTCTCTTGAGTTATAGATTTACATTTCTATTTCTTAAGCACCTTAAATTCTAATGAATAGAATAGAATTTATCTTTATTAATGACGCCCTAATTCTTTTATTTTGTAAAAGACTAAAACACTGTCATTTTCTTTAATTCTCTCTTAAGTCCTGTCATACCTGCTTCTTCAACATTTTTGTATTTTTTCCTTTTTTCAACCTGCACATTGATGCCAGATTAATATTTATGAAGGACAGTTTTCATTATATAAGTCTCCTCAAAATCTTCTATGTCTGTTTCTTACAAAACAAAGTCCAAATCCCTAATCTTGAAATTTAATCTCTCCAAGTATATCCACATCTATCTTTCTTATATTTTTTGCTGCTACTCCTTTACACACCCTAAATTTCACCTGAATCTTGCCATTTGTAGTTTTGGCATTTTGTATTTGTTGTTTGTGGATTTTCCAAGAGGATAGAAACCTGAACCTTGCACATGCTAGGTAGGCAGTCTGTTGCTGAGTTATATCGCCAGCTCTCCTGACCTTCTGTTTTCTGCTGTTTTTAACAAGGAAAGTGATTATTTTTGTTAGTACTTCTTATAATTCCAGCACAACAACTTGTATTATAGTTATTTTGTCCACTTTGTCTTCCTAATTAAATTGCAGTATGAGCTGGGCATGGTGGCACACGCCTGTAATCCCAGCACTTGAAAGGCTGTGAGTTCAAGACCAGCCTGGGCTACATAGTGAGTTCCAGGTCAGTCTCAACTACATAGTGAGACCCTGCCTAAAAAAAAAAAAAAAATTGCAGTATAAGCTCCACAGAGGCAAAATTTAGCTCTTAATTTTCTCCATATCCTTCAAAGTCCTTACTAGTATGCTTTGTATAGAATAAGTGCCTATGTATATTCTACATTGAATTGACAATGAGTACATAAATTCTATAGTCTTACATTATCCCATTCCTTATTTATTACTTTCCTTTCTACTTTACACTTAAAAATATAGAAGTGCTGAGACTAGAACTTCTAAACTACACCCAATAGAACCAAATTTTTATCTATTTATAGTCATTCTTCTATCTTTCTTTCCTGTTTTTAAAGCCAGTCTTTCCATCGAAGCTTTGTTTGGTTTTTTTGGTGTTTTTTTGGTACCAGGTTCAAACTCACCAGGCAGGCATTGTGCTCCTGAACTACATCCCTGGCCCTTTCCATCTAAACTTTGATTTCTTTTCTTTTCTTGAATTTTACAGCACTGATTTTCCCTTAGCATTTAACCTCTCCATTTTCATTTTGTTTATTTGTTTGTTTGTTTGTTTATTTTGGGTCTAGGGATTGAACTCGGGATCTTGTGCTTGCCAGGCAGGCATAGTGCTGCTCAGCCACATCCCGAGCTTTCCATTTTCATTTTATATATTTATTTCTCTCCCATTATTCAAAATAGTAGGCTGTGATGTCACATACTTATAATCCCAGCACTCACGAGGCTGAGGCCACCCTGTCCTTCAGAGTGAGTTCAAAGCCATACTGGACTATATAGTGAAGCCCTGCCTTAAGAACAAAACAGGGCTTGAGCCAGGCATGGTGGCGCATGCCTGTAATCCCAGCACTTGGGAGGCTGAGGCAGGAGGATCACTGTGAGTTCAAGACCAGCCTGGGATACATAGTGAGGTTCCAAGTCAGTCTCAACTACATAGTGAAACCCTATCTTAAAAAACAAAAAACAAAATGGCTGGATGCCATGGTGCAAATCTGTAATCCTAGCACTTGGAAGGCTGAGGTAGGATTATCATGAGTTCAAGGCCAGCCTGGGGTACACAGAGAATTTGATTTTAGCATAAGCCACATGGTAAAACCTTACCTCAGAAAATTCACTTACTCACTAAATAAATACATACGTACATAGAGACCAACAGACATACAAAAACAAAACAACAACCACAAAAAACACCACATTTCCCTCTAAGGTAGCACTGAATGCTCCCTGTTTCTTTCTTGTTCCTTCACTATTCATTGAACAGACTTAGCAAGTATCTACTGTGTGGTCATATACAGTACACAGTGCAAAGGACATGCTAGTAAACCAGAACAAACATTATTTGTGCCCTTATGGAGTTTCCAGTCCAGAAAAAAATATAAACATTAAACAAATAATTTCATGGTAAATTTTACGGAAGGAATTACAAGGTGGTATGGAGTCTTGTAACAAAAATCTGATCAAGGTCAGGGTAGCCTTCTCTCTAAAGAAGTATCATTTAAGCCAAGATCTGAATGATAAATAGAATTTAACAAAATAAAAGGAAACCTTTACACAGAAGAGAATATATGTCAAGTACAGGGTTTTGAAATTGAGGCCAATATAGCTCAAGTAGAGCAAAAGGGAAGATGATCAGATAATACACTTGGATGTATCACTAAGGGGCAGGCCTATGAGGCCCTCTGAAAGAGTTTTGAATTTTCCTAAGAACAATAACAGCCTTTAAAGGTTGTCAAGCACTGACTATGATAATAGAGGTTGGATTTAGTAGATTAAGAGGAAATTCAGCCAGGGCCAGAGATTTAGCTCAGTGGTACCTTGCCTACCAAGCGCAAGGTCCTAATTTCAAACCTAGTACCAAAAAAAAAAAAAGAGAGTAAATTTAACCAATTTAAGTAGTTACTGGACTGGCCTGGTTATTAAAAAGAAAGAAAAAGCAGCTTATATTAAGGGATGCTGCTATTGGTGAAGAAAAAGGTATTTTTGAGAGAAAAATCTAAACTTGGTTTGGATATGAATAGAGAAGAGACTTTTAATGACTCCTAGGTTTCAAAATCAAATTAAGATTTTAAATTATGTTCATATATTTTTAAATGTGTATCTGTTCCTACTTAGACCATGAGGGTTGTCTAACAATAACTATTTCATATCTACAAATTTTATATGTATCATATATAAATTATATATAAATAGAATAATATAGAGTATATGTTATCTAGGTTGTATAAATTGATATATACTTATATATAATCTATAGATTGTATAAATGTATTACATATAAATAGATTCTGTCTCAAAGTGGCCCCTAAGAAGACACTAGTTGAGATCACTGCTATATAGTTTAAAGTTCACTAATCTGCCACCAAAAGTGTTTGTATAATCATAATTTAGTGCCTTATTGGCAAGAAATGGTGGTGGGTGTTTGTGAAATATTCCCAACACTTCATTTGGGCCACGTTTATTCATTTTATCCATGATATTTATTTTTTGATTGATTGATTGATTGAGACAGGGTCATACTACATAGTTCAAATTGGCCTTGAAGTCACTCTATAGCCCAAGTTGGCCTTGAACTTGTGGTGATCCTCCTGATTCAGCCTCCCAAGTTCTTGGAGTACAGGTGTGCACCACTGTGTTTGGCTTCTTAGTAAATTATTTTTAACTGATTTATTCTAATTCATGCTGTCTACTTTAGAAATTAAGAGTTTGGAGGATGAAAAGAGAGACAATCCTATAGAAGAATGGCATTCTGAAATGAGAGCTGCAGAGAGAGGTAACTGCAGCCATCTGCTTTGAGTTTTTTTATATATTTAGATGAAATTAAGTTAGACTTTTCAGTAAGGCAGATTTGGGGTGGTGGGGGTTACCAGGAATCAAACTCAGGGCCTTGCGCTTGCCAGTCAGGCAGGCACTGTGCCACTGAGCTACAATCCCAGCCCAAGACAGATGATTTTTGTGACACCATTCTAATGTGTCTTTTTATGTTTTGTCTTCTTTTCCTAGATCTAGAAGAGTTAAAAGCTGAAGAGGAGGATCTTCAAAGGTCAGCTTGCAGCCCCAGTGTTAGAAAATGTACTGCTGGGCCAGGGAATTAGCTCATTGGTTCTACCACCTGCCTCACAAGCACAAGGACCCACGTTTGATCCCTGGTACCAAAAAAGAAAATGTACTGCTGAATTCCACAAAGTCAATGGCTTATTGCCTTTAGAGACAAGTTTAGGCACATGAATCTTAATTAGGCCTGACTCAGGGCTTCTGCTCCAAGATGATACTGTTCAAACTTGAGCACTGTCAGAATCCTTTTAAAAAAATTAAACCAGGGCCAGGGATTTAGCTCAGTGGTGCCGCTGCCTGACTCACAAATGCAAGGTCCTGAGTTTCATCTCTGGTACCAAAAAAAAAAAAGCACTAAAAAAATTAAACTAGGCATTAAGCTATTTTTTGTATACTTAGATAAATAGAAGTATAAAATGACGCATCTTAGGTCATGAATTAGTTCAACTATAGAACCAAAAGAAATTAAATATAAATCATAACAAAACTAATAAAATTCTAGTAAATGACATTAATTTTTTAAAATTAGTGTGTAGTACTTATAACAACATTATTTGACTAGTAGTTGTATTTGACTGAAATTAAATTGATAGCAGCAAATTAACTAATAAAACATAAGTCCTATTTACCTCTAACGAACTGAACAGAATCACGTGTAGGCCACAAACCTATGACATATCTCATTTTTAAGGTGGGCATCCTTAACTACTTTATGCTTCAGCAGAAATGAAAAAATAATGTCCAATAATTATTTTCAAGAACATGAAGCCTCACTGAGTCCTAATTTTAGAAATAATGACTTACACCTTTCCTAAATTAACCTATGTCTAGATTAATGATTATCAAAACAAAATATTACCTCACTGGGACCATCTAGCAAATAACTTATCATGGACCTTTTTATTAATCTGATAAGAACAGGTACTACACTTGATCTTAGCCAAAAGTCCAAGAAGCAATGGACCTTTTTATTAATAGTCCAAATTCCAAATTCTCTCACAAAGACCTTATGTTTCTATGAATATCTGGTTTTATTTGCAGGAACCTCTTAGAATTGGAGGTACAGAAAGAGCACACCCTTGCTCAGATAAAATTTATGCAAAAACAAACAAATAGAACTGAAGAACTACTGGATCATTTAAGGTAAGGAAATCAGATATCATTAGTTTATAGTATATCCTGTGCTTTAGTGATTATCTGAGCCTACTGGAGCAGCTGGTATGTTTTTAGTATGTTCCTATAGATTTCCTGGGTATTTTTTGTTTGTTTTGCTGTGATTTGTTTTTGAGATTGGATCTCGCTATGTTGCCCTAGTATGGCCTCGAACTCCTGGGCTTAGGCAATTCTCCTGCCTCAGCTTCCCAAGTAACAACTGCAGATGCACAACTCTGCCCAGCAGTTGATACAGGTTTTTAACCTATGGCACAGTACAGTGTCTAAAAGAGTTTATGGGGCCGGAGATTTAACTCAGTGGTTCTACCTCCTGCTTTGTAAGCACAAGGACCCAATTTCGATCCCTGGTACCAAAAAAATAAAAGTTTATGTACTTGACACCAAGGTGAAAATATAAGGGTGGGAGAGCTATGGAATAATGTTTGTTGTTTAAATTTCATTGGTACTCTTGATATACATAAGAATCACATTCATCAGGAATGTTATAAATTTAATAATTTTCACTGCATAAACTTGTTTCTTCTTTGATGCACAACTCAAGATTGAGTTCTTGCCTGGCATGATAAAGCATGCCTATAATCCCAGTACTAGGAAGGTTGAGGCAAGAGGATTGCCACTAGTTCAAGGCCAGCCTTGGCTACATAGTGAGTTCAAGGCCAGGCTGAACTACATAGTGAAATGCTATCCCAAAAAAATAAAATAAAAGATTGAGTTCTTATTTCTTTCAAAAACATAGATTGTACTTTGGCAATATTTAAATTGGATCATTGATTGTCTCCAAATCCAGTGGCAGGTGCTGTTAGTACTATTGGGTAGTATCAGAAATTCTCTTAGCTAGGATGGGATATAACTCAATTTATAGCACTTGCAAAAGAATACTTTAAAAAACAAAAAACAAAAAAAAGCAAAAGAATGCTTTTATTTCTGTTTCTCTTTTCAGTTCGTCTGAGTGGGAAGTCATTGAATGGAGTGATGGTCAAGCTATATTTACCTTTGTTTATGATACCATAGAACTCACCATCACCTTTGGAGGGCCAGTAGGTAAGTAGCAAATGTAGATCTTAGAAACTTTGTGAGACCCTGTTTCAAAAAATTAAAAAAAAAAAAAAAATTAAAGTCCTAGGGATATATAGCTCAGTGCGAAGGCCTTGGGATCAATCCCTAGTCCTGGAGGTAAGGGAGAGAATAAAAATAAAAACATGACTAGTGAAAGTTGCCCTTTGTTAATTATATTGGATGATAAAGTTTTGCTGCTGTAATAATGCTGAGTTCTTTTTTTCCGTCTTTGTCTATGATACAGAATTTAATAACAGTGATTCTTGACTGAATGTTTTATACTGCAGCTCTGGGCTGGTGATATAGCTCAGTGATAGTGGCTTGTCTGACATGCACAAGGCCCTGAGTTCAATCCCCAGCCCTGCAAAAAATAAAATAAAAGGAGGCCTTTAAAGTTAGTTGGAATTCCTGTACTCAGGAGTATACAGGTGTGTTTATTAAGATAGGTAGATTCACTATTGAGTGACTGGACAGAGCAGCTTTTTAAGAGTCTTCTCTTACTTGTCAGTTTGAACATAGCCATATTGGAACCTTAGGCTCTTCAGTCTCCCAGCCTCTCAACCTTATTCTTCTGAAAAGTTGTTTATCTCAATGAAAATCACCTCTGTCCAGGGGCCAGGGATTTAGCTCAGTGATTTTGCCACCTGCCTTGCAAGCACAGGGGCCTGAGTTCGATTCCTGGTACCAAAAAAAAGAAAATCACCTCTGTCCAGGTCCAAAATTAAGGAATACTCTGCATCTCCTTTCCTTCGTTATATATGTCCAAATCATCAAGTATCAGTGCGTGTTGTTATTTTTGTTTGGGTTTGGTTTTTTTGAGGCAGGATCTCATTATGTAGTAGAGGCTGTCACTGAACTTGCTGTGCAGCCCTGGCTGGCCCCGATCCTCTTCCCTTCACCTCCCAAGTGCTAGTCATTATAGGCATAAACCACCACACCTGGCTAAGACATACTGATTTTAATTTCTCAATATTCATAACTTTTCTCTAACTCAAATGACTGCAATTGCATTCTGATACAATTACATACTGATCCTTCCAAATCTTTTTTCCTCTCCTCCCTGTAGCTGTAGTGATTATTGAAAATCTGATCGCATGTGTGCTACTCTTAGGCTAATGATCAAAATGTCTTATGTAGCCTATAAACCCTTGAGTGAACTAGTTCCCCCCCCTTTTTTTTTTTTGCTGTCTCATTGTATCACCTTCTCTCTGTACATTACCCACAATGTACTTTTTAAGTTTCCATCATGATCAGGGTCTTTCGTGCTCAGAATTTTTCTGTCTAGCCTCAAGACTTTCATATCATTCTTTCTTTTCTTTTTTTTTTTTTTTTTTTTTTTTTTTTTTTTTTTTTTTTTTTTGGTACGGAGGATTGCACTCAGGACCTTGTGCTTGCAAGGCAGGTGGCGGAACCACTGAGGTAAATCCCTGGCCTCATCATATCAGTATTTCTTATATCTGGGAACTCTTTATCCCCTCTTCACTAATAAATTCCTGTTAATCCTTAGAGCTCAGCTCAGTCATAGTCTCAGGAAAGTTTCTGTGATTTTTTTGAAACAGGGTCTCACTTTTAGTTCGGGCTGGCCTCAAACTCATGCTAATCTCCTATCTCAGCCGCCCAAGTGCTGGGATTATAGGCGTGGGCCACCACACCTGGCTGCTGTGCTCTTTTTAATGCTCTTGGCCACATTTCCTTCTATTACATGTTCTCATTTTTTTCTAGTTTTCCTTATACTTTGTAATTGTGCTTTGTTTTTTGTTATGTTGGAGATTCATGCATGCCAGACAGTCTATTGAGCCATATCCCCGGTCCTTGGAATCCTGTGTTTATTGATTTAGTTATTAGTGTGTTATTAGTGTGTCCTCCTGAGTTATAAAGCTTCTTGAGGTATGAGTTGATTCCATCTGTTTTCTCATTATGGTAACTAACATAGAAAATTTTTAGCAGAGCATAGGAGTAGCTGATGCAGCAAATGAGTTGGTTGTAGAGCCAGGGCACATCTTGGTCCCCAGCCCTACCCCTCCCCTGAGCTACTTAACCTCTGAGGAGGGAACAGGGACTTTCTGAGAGGCCTTTGGACAGGAGAATGGCCACGTGAAAAGCAGTGGAGACTTATTTCTCAAGAGTGAGGGGTCACCCTCCACCCCAAAGAAACATGAAGCAGCTGGGGTCACTGGCAGTGACACTAAGCCAGCTCTCCCTAGCCAGGGTACTGAGGCTGAGAGGGAGTCCCCACTAAGAAATCTTCAAAAGGATGAAGAAATTCTATCTGAAGAAGGCTTTCAAATTAAGAAGCCTGACTCCCAATGGGGACCCCCCAGCAACTGCCTCGACTGGGGCCCGGGGCTGCATGGGCCATGGACCTGCTCATCTGCCACACCTACATGTGAGAACTGCACTCCCCAGCCCGGCAGTGGCGGCATGCAACCCCACGGTGGCCCACAATGGACTGGCTGAGGTGGCAGGAGGATGAGGACCAGCAAATGCAGTTACTGTCTCTGACCCTGAGCACCTTGAGGAGCTCCTCAGGCTGGGAGGTTGAACCCAGCGAGTATCAGAAGATACAATATGTCCAAATCTGAGTTCCAAATGCCCAAAATCATGAGACTGATCACCAAAGATCTGTCTGAACACTACTCCATTTATACGTATAGATATTTTATCCACTACTGGCCACAGCTGTGCTGCTTGGCCATGGTAGGGGAGGAATGTGTAGGTGCCATCCTTCACAAGTTGGATATGCACAGAAAGTTGCATATGTTCTAAAGAGGTTATATAGCCATGTTAGCTGTAGATTTCAAGTACCAGAGAAATGGTGTTGGTACTAACTTGATTAAGAAAGCTATATATGCTATGGTTGAAGGAGACTGTGATGAGGTTGTTTTGGAAACTGAAATAACAGATAAGTCTGCTTCAAAACTGAAAATCTTAGTTTTGTTCGAGAGGTTATTCAGATACTATTTAAATGGAGTTGATGTACTTCGACCTGAACTGTGGCTGCGTTGAGAAACTGGCATTTAGGAACAACTTCCAACCACGCAGAGTCGACCTTTTCATTCAGTGCAATTTGTACAGAACTGCTTTACAGGTGGATTTAGTAATTCCTATGCAGCTCTTATCTCTCAGTGTCTCATTGGGTATCACACAATATTTGTTGCACTTTGGCATGGCGCATTTGTTCTGAATTAAAAGAGATTATTTTAAACTTTAGGAGTTCTTTGGGTACCAACAAGATGTGCCAGTTGATAGCCAAGAATTGTTCATTTGTAGTCTGCAGGCTGGGGATTTAGCTCAGTGGTTCCTCTGCCTTCCTCATTTGCAGTCTGCTGATGGTGTTATTTACATAGTGACCTTTTTTTCACAGAACCAGTCAGTAGAATGTAATTTTTGTTTCTTAAGAAAGCTAATATAAATTTTAAAATTCTCTGAGTATACTAACATTTCACATAAAACCTGCCATAGTTTTCTGAAAGGGACGAGGAAAAAGTTTTGATTTTTTTAAATTTATTTTTAATATTAAATTTTCCATTCTTGAATTTTGGTACCTCAGTAATTAGAGAATGAAAAAATGTAGGGTGCGGTTTGTCTTACCGTGAGTAAAGATAATTAAATTTCATCTCTAGTTTTTGTACCGGGGATCGAACTCCAAACCTTGCGCTTGCGAGGCAGGCGGCAGAACCACTGAGCTAAATCCCCAGCCCCTCATCTCTAGTTTTTGAATGCATGCTGTCTTTTCCTTTTCTTTATGGCCTTTGCAAGCAAATTTTTTAATTTAAATTCTAAATTTGATAATAAATTATTTCAGGCTTTTTATAATTTGAATACTTTTTCTGGGTGACAGTGATTCACCTTAGAAGTCCCGTTTTTCCTTACAGTAGGAAGTTGAATCTGCTTGGAAAGTCTTTGAGGAATGAATCAAGAGGGCTGAAAAAGGTTGATGGAGCTGGGAATTGCTGGGTTTTAGATACACTTTTTTTTTTTTTTTTTTTTTTTTATTTTTTTTTTGAGTGAGGAAACTTTTGGAAAAGAATAGCAAATTTATGTAAATTGGTATGATTTTATTTATTGTTTTGTTTTTTGGTTAGGTTTTTGGGTTTTGTTTTTTTTTTTTGGTACCAGGGATTGAACTTGAGTCCTTGCGCTTGGGAGGCAGGCGGCAAAACCACTGAGCTAAATCCCCAGCCCAGTATGATTCTATTAATCAAAATATTGCAGCAACTTTATAGCTAGAAGTATTTTCCCCACTTGATTTGGATTCACATTGCTTCTGTTTCTTAAAATGCTTTACTTTTAGTTTATGGTCTTCAAAATAGATTTCAAGGTGCATAGTTAAAAAAAAAAAATTGAGAGGCCTGTCCTTCAAGAGAAACTGGGAGGAAGATGAGGGTGCTTCTTCTGCCTCTTCATCCACAGAATAGGAGCAGGATGAGATTGGTACCTACAGTGAAGAGGACACTGCCCAGGAAGAGAAGGCTGCTGTCATCCCTCAGAGCCAGGAGGAACAGGCCAAGGGGGCAGAGGCTAGTGCTGCCTTCAAGGGAGGAGACACAGACGAGCTAGGACATCAGGCTACATAGCCATCCACTCACTCCCTGGGGGCTGCACAGTGATCCTGCATCCACCAGTTCCAAGCAGAATGAGTATCTGAGGGGGAGCAGGTGTCCTTCTGAAGTTGCTGCCTGAATGTGCTGCTCTTACTGCTCTCGGTACCCAGAAAGGAAGGGATTTGTTCCCCCTTCCCAGCCACATTTTCCTCTTTTCCCTCCTGTGGATTCTCCTATCAGATGAAGGTGGCCCCTTACATTTCCCGTTAGGTTAGGAATATGAAATGCTCCTGTCCTGTCCCTGCCTTCTTTCTTGTCCCTACCAGCACAAAATTCAATTGCTAGCTTTCTCACCCCATTCATTTTCAGGTAGGTCTTGTTTATCCTACTCCTCAGATCCATGAGCCAGTAGTGGATGCTTATACTCCCACATCCTGCATGTCCAGTCTTCAGAGGTTTCAGTCTCTTGTGCTGTCATGTCTTCCTCAAATTCAGACTCCAGCTTGTGAATCAGCTGTGGTTTTTTTTTTTTTTTTTTAACTTGGTAAGCAAGTATTAGACTGTGGGTTTTTTTTTTTTTTTTTTAACTTGGTAAGCAAGTATTAGACTGTGGGTTTTTTTGTTTTTGTTACCAAGGATTGAACTCAGGCCCTCAAGCAGGTGGCACCACTGAGCTAAATCCCCAGCCCAATATTAGGCTGTGGAATGGGAGAAGCGATCAGAAATGTGAAAGAACTTTTTGTTGTCTTTTTCTCCCCATTGTTGTAAATAACTTTTAATGGCTAAGCCCCAGATTCGAACTTTTTTTCCCTGATTGTTAAAATCATTCTCTTCTACACGGTTTTACTGTGAAAAGAGAATAAATGTCACCCATAAAAATAAAAATTTTAAAAGAAAAAAAAAAAGCAAAGCATTAGATAAACTGAAAAGAATCAATTTGAGAGAAAGAAGAAAACTAGTCTAGAGAACTGAGCAGATATCCTGGCTACCTGTAATTCATCAGGACAGTGCTAAAACAATTACTTTTACTGTATTCATTCAGGGATAGGAGGTATAAGGGAAAATAGGCATTCCTGAAAAATTTACCATAACATAAAAGTTAAGGGTCAATGGGGCTGAGGGTTTAACTCAGTGGCACCGCCACCTGCCTCAAAAGCACAAGGACCCGAGTTCAATCCCCAGTACCAATCAAAAAAAAAAAAGTTAAGGATCAAAGAAAGAAGCCTTAACAAATGTAGCTGTGTTCTACATTTTAAAATTTCCTCAAGGGCCTACCAATTAATATAGTTGGGTAAGCTTGGTGTGGTGGCACATACCTGTAATGCCAGCACTTGGGATGCATCTAAATCACTTTTCTGTCTTTGCTGAGACAAAATACCTAACACCTGGCAGTGGGAGGAGCGGCAGCAGCCAAACAGCTCCAGAAGGCTCCCATATGCTGTGGCCTGCAGCTTCTGCACACACACATACACACACACCTGTGCTGCCACAAGGAAGGTCAGCTCCACTGAAGGAGCCCAAGAGGAGATTGGCGATTGTCAGCTAAACCTACTCCTGCAAAAGTGGAAATGAAGCCATAAAAGACAGTGGGAAAGATTTTTCAAACATCTAAATGAAAATGATAAGCTCAAAATTGGTCCTTTTAGCTCTTCATTATGTGATACACAGGGACTAACTAGCAGCATAGTCAACATGGCTATACAGCATGGTGCTTTCTTTTTTCTCTTTTTTTCTTTTTTGGTTTTTTGAGACAGGGTCTCACTATGTAGTTGAGACTGACCTGGAACTCATTATGTAGCTCAGGCTGTTCTCAAACTCACAGCAATCCTCCTGCCTCAGCCTCCCAAGTGCTGGGATTACAGGCGTGTGCCACCACGCCCAGCTGTAGCATGGTGCTTTCTTAAGGATAAATCTTCAGACAAAAAAGTGCAAGCAAAAGGAAAACAGGCTGAAGTGGCTAATCAAGAAACAAGGAAGATTTACCCACGGAAAATGGAGAAACCAAAAGCAAGGAGAGGGGTCAGGGATTTAGCTCAGTGGTTCAGCCACCTGCCTGAAAAGCACAAGGACCTGAGTTTGATCCCCAGTACCAAAAAAAAAAAACCAAAAACGAGGAGAGTACAGCCTCTGACGAAACAGAAGAGAAGGAAGCCGAATCTGATTAGTCACACACCACGTCTTACCAGGGCTCCTGTCTCCTAGTACAATACAAAGGAATATTTTTATCAACTATTTTGTAAATGCAAGTTTTCTAGCAGCTCTAGAAACATTTTTAAAAAGAGCATCCCACCTCATTGCATTTTTAAAGTATAAATGATATTTTAAGAGGTGAAATCATTGCTGGTTGTTTTTTGGTACAACCAAAACAGTGGGATATTGAATTATGGCAGGCTTTGACTATCTTAGGTGTCAGTTTAATATTCCATAGGTGGGGCTTAGTTTTATATCCTGCAGTGTGAAGCATACTAAATGGCAATTTAGACTCATAGTTATACATTTAATATTTCTTGAATATTTTAAATGACTTCTATTCCCATGTTATTTTTAGTAGAATTGTCCTAAAGAAAACTACTTCCTTATCATTGCCCTGTCAGAATTGTGTGTGTTCTGTAACACCTTTTTTGGTTGTGCTAGTCCAGTTTGCCTAATTTTGTTAATGTGCTGTGAAAGGTTGAAAATTTGAGAATGTAGCTTCTATGATATGAAATTGTGAATTGGTGAGATTTAAGTAACACTTCATCAGTATTCAAAGATACTGGTACTTAATCCTGTTATGGAAAATTTGCCTCCAAGCAGGGCGTGGTGGTGCACGCCTGTAATCCCAGCAACTTGGGAGGCTGAGGCAGGTGATCGCTGTGAGTTCGAGACCAGCCTGGGCTACATAGTGAGTTCCAGGGCAGTCTGAACTACATAGTGACACCCTGCCTCAAAAAACCAAAAAAGAAAGAGAGAGAGAGAAAGAAAGAAAATTTGCCTCCAAATTTGAAGCTGGAAAGTCACTGAGATAACTGAAAAGGAAACATCATTTTTTAGATTGTTCGGTACACATGTTATAAATTGTGTACAGAGTGAAGTGTCTGTACTGATCCTCAACACAATAAAACCTCAAATATGGGGGAAAAAATACCCAACACCCAATTAAAAGAGGAAAGGTTTATTTAGCCCACAGTTTGTAGAAGTCTCAGTCCATAATTGGCTGCTTCAAGGCAGAGTGGCACATAGCAGAAGAGCATTGCAGAGGAGAAACAGTTCATGCACCTATGACCATGTGAGGCTTTGGGGGGACATCTAGACCCAAACCATGACAGGAGGTTAAGGAGGGAAAATTTCTGTGAGTTTGAGGCCATCTTGGGCTATATACTGAATTCAAGGCCAGCCTGAACTACACAGTGAAACCCAGTCTCTGAAAAAGAAAAAAAAAATTGAGCAATCTTGGGGGAGTCTTTACCATATGCAGAGAAAAGTATGATTCAGGGATAAAATTTCAATTATCATAAAAAAACCCTAATATCAAATGAATAAGATTCTAAAGTACCGAGTGTTATATAACTTAGAATCAGATAGTAAAAAGAAATACTATTCTTTTTCTGGTTCTTAGTTGGTGTCCCTTTCCTGGAAAAGCCTCATAGGAAGATTGCTGACCTGAGTTTTCAGTCTTTGCTAGATGGTAAGTTAAATCATTTAAACCCCTAAAATATTGGTAATTTATAGGTACAAATTGTTTCTTGGTAACTCATTTACATACTAAATTAAACATAAGCAACAATAGTTTGTCCTTAAAATATTTGTTGGTTATAAAACTGCTCAGTGGGTTGGGGATTGAGCTCAGTGGTGCCACTACCTGCTTGACAAATGCAAGGTCCTGACTTCAGTCCCCCATATCAGAAAACACAAAATAAAACAAAAAAACACCTGCTTGGTTAATGTTCTAAATATTTAATTTCCTCCTTCCTTTTTTCCTTCCATCCTCCTCCCTCCCTCCCTTCTTTCCAAGACAGGGTCTCACTATGTAGTTCAAGTTGACATTGAACTCACTATGTAACCCAGGCTGGTGTTGAACTCACAGTGATCCTCTTGCCTCAACCTCCTGAGTGCTGGGATTACAGGCATGCACCACTATACCCTACTTATTTTAAAAGAAATTGAAAGACTAATAATAGCTATTCCCTAGTTTGAAAATTACCATTATGAGTATCTAGTCTATATCAGGCATATGTTGAGGGTTTGTGTTTATTTGCCTGTTTTGTTTTTTTAGGGTTTTTGTTTTGTTTTGTTTTGTACCTGTGATGGAACTCAGGTCCTTGTACTTGCAAGGCCAGCGGCAGAACCTCAGAGCTAAGTCCCTGGCCCATGTTCTTTTTAGTTTTTGAGACAGGATCTCTCTGTATAGTCCAGGCAGGTCTTGAACTCACTATGTAGTCAAGGCTGGCCTGAAACTCATGGCAGTCTTCTTGTCTCAGCCTCCCAAGTTCTAGGATTACAGGTGTGTGCTACCACACCCAATGAGCATGTGTATTATTTACATTAATGCTAAGGTATTATTTCCCATTTTATTAGTTAGGGAACTATGGGTCAGAAAATTTAAATGTTGTACTTAAGATCACTTAAGTAGTTAAAACACACCTGTAATCCCAGCACTGGGGAAACTGAGGAAAACTGCCTGGAGTTTGAGGCCAGCCTGGGCTACATATTGAGTTCAAGGCTGGCCTGAACATAGCAAGACCCTGTCTCAAAAGAAAAACAGCCAGGCATTGAATTCAGGTTTGTGTTGTATTTAAACCCATGCTTTTTCTTGTTTGATGCTGGGGATTAAACCCAGGGCTTTGTACATGCTAGTTGAGCCTTCTACTACTGAAATATATTCCCAGTTATAAACCTGTGCTTTTAACCAAGTTCTATTCTGTATGTGAGGCCAGGTGTGGTGGCACACACCTGTAATCCTAGTACTCAGGCAGTTGAGGCAGGAGGATCACCACAAGTTCAAGGCCAGTCTGGGCTACCTAGAGAGACTGTCTCAAAGAAAAAAAAAAAGAGGTAGGAAAGGAGAAATAAAAAGAATTAAGATATATTGTGTACATGTACCAACTCACCATCTCAGTGTAATCATTGTGTACTGTAAGCACATACTAATAAAAAAAATAAAAATTTTACAAAACTATTCTATACATGATAAAGGCTTGAGTTTTTGTAGGGATATATAATTGTGTTTGAAAATAAAGATATTTTGTCACCTAAAAGTTTGAGGGTATTTCTTGCTTAGGTAATACAGTATTTTTAGCTTCTTTAAAATACATGAATAATAAGAAATATACATCTGAATAATAAATAATACCCTGCCTTTGGATCTTTTCTTTTTCTTTCCCAGAGGATAAAGCTCCTTCTTCCTCCCTTTTGGTTCATAAGCTTATTTTTCAATACATTGATGAACAGGAATCCTGGAAGAAGAAATGTACAACACAGCATCAAATAGCCAAGGTAAAGTCTGATTAAAGTCTTTAAAGTTAAATTTGTGCTGTCTGTACCAAAAAGCAGAACTGAAATTCTGTGTATAGAGTAGTATACTGAGATGACATATATATTCAGTTGTTTTGCGGAATCATTATAACAGAGCCATTAAACATTGAAATATTTTTGTAATTTCACCAAGCCCCCGCCCCATTTTTTTCTAGATGCTTGAGGAACTTTCACTGGTAGTGAGCCATTGCAGACTCCTTGGAGAAGAGATTGAATTTTTAAAGAGTTGGGGACCAAATTATAACCTAATGGACATACATGTGAATAATACTGAGTAAGTGTGTTAGTTCCCTGGAGCAGTGATAACAAAGTATCACAAATTGGGTAGAACAAGAGAAATTTATTACCTTAGTTAGGTAATCGCCTAAAGTGAAAGGTTAGAAGGCCAAGATCAGGATTTCAACAGGATTGGTTCCTCACTGAGAAAAACCTGTTCTCCTTTAACGTAACTTCTAGCGCTTCACTGGCAATTTTTGGCCTTCCTTGGCCTATAAATGCATAATCCTGATCTCTGCCTTCACCTTCATACAGTGTTCTTTCATTGTAGTGTCTGTGTACAAATTTCCCCTCTTGATAAACACACCTGTCACATTGGAGTAGAGCCCACCCTACTCCAAAAGAAACAGCTTGACTAAATTTGCAATGACCTAATTTCCAAAGAAGGCCACCTTCTAAGGTATTGGGAAATAGGACTTAAATATACAAATTTGGGGGGATATATTTCCACCCACAACAGTAAGTAAGTAGTCAAGAATTGAGTAAAATAAGTCATTTTATTAATGTGCATCAAGAATAACAAATGGAGGGCCGGTTATTTAGCTCAACGGCACTGCACCTGCCTCTCAAGCAGAAGGTCCTGAGTTCAATTCCCAGTGGTGGTGGGGATGAAAAATGGAAAGAAAAAACCCATTTAAAACCTTGTTCTAGGGGCCGGGGATTTAGCTCAGCGGTTCGGTGGCCTGCCTTCTAAGCGCAAGGACCCGAATTCAATCCCCAGTACCAAAAATCAATCAATCAATCAATCAATCCTTGTTCTGTATAAAATGAAAATTGCTTTGATTTTTAAATGACCCATTTTGAGAAGATAGTATTGAATAAATGTGTGTAATAAAACAATTTACATATGCACTGAGCATGAGTTTTTTTAATCTCATACTTTAAAAAGATTTATTTAGATTTATGAATTGACATAATCATGGTTAAGTACAAATCTATATCATCTTTTAAAGCGCTTCTAAATTTTTAAGATAAGGCTTTTTTTTGGTTGTGAAAAGCTGAATATTTCTGTTGCCTTCATTTTCATCTTGTAGTTTATGTATTCTAATAAATGGCCTTACATTTAAAAATTATAAAGAAATATATACCAGCAAAAATAAATAAATCAAAATTAAACCTTATTTTAGAGTCAGTGCTTTACCTCAGTCGTTCTGCCACCTGCCTTGCAAGTGCAAGGTCCTGAGTTCAGTCCCTGGTACCAAAAATAATAATGATGATGACAATAACAATAAAACTTTGTTCTGGATGTTTTATCTTTTGTTCCATTTGATAAGGACAAGAAATAATGTATACCAAGTTTCACAAGCCCGTGTAAAAGGAAAATATGTTTGTGTTTCAGTCTTTTTTGTTGTTATTTTATATTTTTAATTGTGGGTCTTGTCTTTTACAGATTAAGGCTTTTATTCTCTAGTTCTGCAGCATTTGCAAAATTTGAGATAACTTTGTCTCTCTCCGCCCATTATCCATTGGTCCCATTACCTTTCACCATTCAAAATCACCTTGGGAACACTGGGTAAGTAAAGTACCAGCAGGATAAGACCAGCTACTTTTTAACATTTATTATTGCATTTGAAAGTTCCCTTTAAGTGGTCAGCAAGCAAATGGGTAGTGAGAGCTAAATGTCATTAGTTTTGTTTTGTTTTGGGCAGTGCGGTAAATCAAACCTCGGGCCTTATACATGTCTGCTAAGTTGTCAACCACTAAACTACATTCCTATCCCTGAGAATGTTTTTTTGTTTGTTTGTTTTGGGGTTTTTTTTTCTTTCTTTTTTGAGGCAGGGTTTCTCTATGTAGTCCAGGCTGGCCTTGAATTCATAGTAATCCTCCTGCCTCAGCCTCCCATGTACTGGGATTACAGGCTAGTGCCACCATTCCCAGCTGAGAATCTGTTCTTTAATGTCAGTGATCTTTATTGCTCTCTCCAGTGGATGCTAGAGACCATTGGTCTGCTTTTTTATACATACTTCACTTTTTAAATTCACCTACACTTAGAGCAGGGATCAAAAAGGAGAAAATTCCACATAAGCTTAACTCAGATCATAGGGAAACAATTTTATGGCCTTAATTAAAAATGGAATATTCATAATATCTTTTTTTTCAATTAGTTTGTGGAACTAGATCTATAAATGTCTCATAGATTGTGATCTGTTTTATGACTTTAGATACACTGCTGACAGATTGGGAGATGGCAGCATTTAGGAAAGCCTCCCTTAAATCCACCGGCAAGTACCAACAGTTAGAATTTTATAGCTATAGCTAAACAAAGTAACTGGCTCAAGCTGCCTGACAATTACATACAGAATTGGTTCTCAGCCCATATTTTGAAATCCCATTTCAAATGGACAGTCTGCTTATTTCCAGAAATGCCCATTAGTGCTTTCTAGAAACCTGAGACCCAAGGTCATGAGTAGCAATGAATTAGAGACAAGTATGTTTCCAGAAAAATTAATTAACTTTTCCTTCTTTCCAGCCAAGATGAAATTGCTTCCATTATATCTAAAGTGCCACTAGAGGACAACTATTTGAAGAACTTAGTCAAGCAAATTTCCCGAGATCTACTTCAGGATGCCACTTCTACCCCTAGGCTCCTGCACCACAACTGTAACAAACAGTAGTATACACACTTGGGATGTTATGTCATGATTTCCACAGCTGTTTGACCTTTGTCTTTAGATCAAAGAAGCCTAGTAAAATTCCTCTGATGATGTTACAGTTAACTTGTATGGTTAATTTTTAAATGTCTAGTCGGGACTAACCAAAGGCCTCAGTTAGCCTGATGATAGATACCAACTTGCTCAGCTCTATACTCAAGGTTAAGTAGCAAGAGGCGTAGGGAAAATCTCCTCTAACTAAAGTTGTGTTCTCTGTTTAGTACAAGCCCTAAGAGTAAATTTTAAGTATGAGGCGCTGTCACCAATAAACACATTAGCCGTTTTCCCATAGTTAGTGCTATGATATTTAAGTACCCTGAGTCCTGCCCAGCAGATATTTCTGTAGTAGAAATATGTCAGGTTCTGCCATGTTGGTGCATACCTATAATCCCAGTTACTATGCAGGCTGAGGTGGGAAGATCACACAAGTCTAGGAGTTCAAGACTAGCCTAGGCAACAAAGCAAGAGCCTATCACAATAACAACCGAAGGAAACATATGTGTCTACAAACTACTCATCATTCTTTATATCCATTTCAGAAAGTCTATAAATAAAAATTCAGAGAAAACAACAGCACCTATTAGAATGGTTGCCATCTTTTCTTGAGGGCCTTTCTTCTTATTCTATACTGTCAATGTTTTCTTGATAAGTAGTTTTTAAGGAAAAGTTAATTCATTATGCATCAGTACATATGTGTAAATATATTAATGTTTTTGTGTTTGTCAAGTAGAAAAGATGCCTTCTAGGCCGTTTCCATCTTTCTGAAGGACCACTTTACAGCAAGATTCTCAATCTTTTATTAAATAAAAACATTTCAAACAATATCTTTTTCAAAACACTGGTTTATGGCAATAAAGTTGCTATAGGTATTGGTTCCTAAAGCCACGCCCTCATACACAAAAATAAACATATCAATTGATTATTAGACAAATATGAAAAAACTTTGATAACAAGTCATAATTACGATATTTGTTTCTATTTAATCCTAAATTAAAATATATTTGCACTTTTTTGTTTGGTTTTGCTTTTTTGAGACAGGATCTTGCTATGTAATCCAGGATGGTCTTGAAGTCACTTTGTAGCCCAGGCTGGCCTTCAACTCATAACAATACTTCTGCCAAGCCAACACACTGTACTTGAATTTTTATTGGGTTTTTATTTTATTTGTTGTTTTGTTTTATGAAGTGGGGGTCTCTCTGTAGCCCAGGCGGATCTTGAACTCTTGGTGATCCTCAGCCTCCTGAGTGCTAGGATTACAAGTATCCGCCATCAACCCAACTCTGGCTTGCACTTTTAAACTAACGTGTTTAAAAATTTTTCCTTTTTCCTTTAGGATCAGATTAAAGTCCAATGAGTGGGCTGGGGATTTAGCTCAGTGGTTCTGCTACCTGCCTCGCAAGCTTAAGGACCCGAGTTCGATCCCTGGTACTGAAAAAAAAAGGTCCAATGAGTCTCATGAATGTTATCTTCCCTCTTTATTGGTTTTTACTTCTGAGCTATATATAAAAGATAACATGGTCTTTAAGCTTCAAATGTCAACGTGAAACTCATTTGGCACAAAAATCAAGACAGGTGTTTCTTATTTTTATGTCCTTTAAAAAAACTTCTAAAGTCATTAACATGGTATGGTTTGTTCCCCATGAAACTTTAGTTGTTGTTTGTTTTGAATAGGGTTTGGCTATGTAATCCAGACTGGCCTCAGACTTGCAGCAATCCTCTTGCCTCTTCTTCCTGAGTGCTGGGGTTTGCAGGTGTGCACTCTTTAGCTTTCTAACTGGAGCTGTTTCATATTTTTTTTGTGTACCTAAGGATTAGAGGGAAATTTTTTATGCATTTTAGTGACTGCATCAACCCACTCTGAAAATGATTTGGCTAATAGTGATGCTCTCTGATTTTTTCAGTTAGAAGTACATAATTGTGATATTTATGTAGGTATCTGTGTTTTTCTTTCTTAAAATATTGGTTATTTAAACTTTTTGTAAGTTTTTCTTTCATTGATTGGAAAAGATTTTTTTGCACTATTAAAATGTTTATTTTTTGAAATCTTTTGTAAATAGTAGCTCTTTATTATTGAGTACTTACTATGTATCTAAAATACAAGCCAAAGTAATCTCTGTCTAGGAACACACACTTAAATAAAAAATAAGATTCAGTTGGGCATGGTGGCACACACCTGTAATCCCAGCACTCTGTAGGCTGAGGCAGGAGGATCGCTGTGAGTTCGAGACCAGCCAGGGATACATAGTGAGTTCCAGGTCAGTCTCAACTACATAGTGAGACCCTGCCTTAAACAAACAAACAAAACAAAGGATATAAACAGAGGGCAAGTAATTATACAAAAGATGTTCTGGATATGTCACCTGGAATTGCAAAAAAAAAAAAAAA